AGAGAGAGAGAGAGAGAATAGTGTACCGAAAGACCTTTATCAAAGAGAGAGCTTACGCCGGACGGATGCAAGTGGATTGTTGCTAAACTTTGCTAAATTCTTGTTTGACTTAATAGTTTAGGTAGAAGAAGATTATCCTTTCCTTTCTATCTTTTTTTTTTTTTTTTGTTTTCTTTTGTTCTTGTTGCCATTTTAATATTATATTCTCATACATCATATAGTACAAAGGTTGTTGCATCGCGACTTTGCTATTTTTTCATATAAAATAGCCCACATGCTTATGTTTACTCTACATCAAGTTTCATCGTATATTTGTAAGACATATATGTATATACGCAGTTTCCATTTTTCCTAACAAGCTACATTATAGTCTGATGTGTTTACGTGTAATTGAGTCACTTACAAAATAAATGTGGTAATATCTGTATATATATGACTCCATGTGGGCTATACAAACAAAATTGAAAACTTAAGGCCCAATCGTTTGTTTCTGAAAATATATACAAACATATCTGATCCCCTAATAAAGGATCATTCTATAACCCCTAGCTAGCTAATGGTTTCTTCACAAAAAGTATATGTATATAAGAACAATACTTCAAGTTAATAATAATTACTAGAGTTTCTGACTACATCTTTTCTACTTGTTCAGGGACCAAAATTGCTGCCAAAAGTCAGGTAATTGAATCGATACTTGTCTCTTTACAATAAAAAAAAAAAAAAAACTGTAATTAAGATCGATCGATGCATGTATGTTCGTTCTTGTCACACTCGTTGATATATATAATTAGGTATTGTCAAATAATTACAGTGACATTGGGAGGATTATTGTATCGGGATATGACACAGGACTTCATGGTGAATGGTGATGATGTCGAGAGGGCGTTGAGAAAACATTTCTCTTCATGTGGAGAGGGCGCCGTTGGTCCTACATTGCATACACGAGAGGGCGTCGAGAAAACATTAAAGAATAGACATTGAATAGGAAATATATGAACAAACTAATGCCTTACTGAGACGAGCACCACATGATCATATATATTGGATAGGAAGTGAAGAAACAAAATGTCTCATAAGAACCACCAAAACTATATATATATTAAGTTGTTGTGACTGGTGAATCCCTTCTTTGTGGGATTTGTTCTATCAGAGTGCGTCAATTAATGTAGTTTGTGTGTAACTTCTCAACTGGAGCTCATTCTGTTGTCTCTGTCTGCAGGTTAGTTATTATCATACTTGAAAGCTTCAAGAGAATAGCAAGATTTTCGAATCCAACGGTGGAAAATCACCTTTTATGTTATTATTAGGTTTGTACTATAAAACTAGTTGTTGAAATAAGAGGCTTTGTAGTCTAGTAGTTGTTAAATTAATGAGATAATGATTATATTCTGGCTGGCTCACAGACACAGGTATGGTGCTTTTCGTGACAAGGTTCCTCCTGACGCATGGGTGGTGTTTAATGTCGAACTGCCTGAAGTTAGAGAGGACGATTACGGAAAAAACTTCACTGTATCTTTTTTGTCATCAGTTTTTTTTTTCTTTTTTCTACTAATTTTATAATCTCTAAGATTATTAACAAATGATAATGCAACTTTCAAAATTAATGTGTGTCAGCGTGAACGATGGAGAGATACCTACTGCCTTGGGAGCGACTCGTAGTAACAATTTGAAATCTAGACTCCTATCAGTGACCCGTTTGGTAGACTCATTAAGCCCCCATAAAGCTTAACAAGTGTGTTTTATTTCTGTTATCATTATATATATAACACAAGAAAACAAAACGAACAACTAGTAAGAGAAGCAGACTAACAAACCATAGCTGTCTTCTCTTTTGTCAGATCACTGTCTGAAAAATATGTACAGTTCACTTTCATAAGAAAAACATGGTACTCAGTCCTCTGAAGTTCTCTATATCACTAAAACTCAGATAGAGAATCAACAGTCGCTGTGGGATTACGCCAAATAACAAATCGGAAAGCCCAATGTTTAGTTTAGTTCTCCAGATCCAAGAAACTCAAGTCGTCAAAGAACCCATTACCATCCTTTGCTTCAAGCTGGAACGGAGGTAATCCATAGTCGAGACTTTGCAGCGATTGATATCCGCCTTGACGCCTCTCGGGTTTGAATGATCCTATGTCAACATTGTTTCCTGCGTACTGGTCGTGGTTCAAGCCCGTAAACAAGTCGCCATTTATGTCACCTAGTAGCTCATCAACATCTAACATCTCCGAAGGATCCCAGTGGCTCTGATCCAGATCATTGGGCCAACCATAGTCTGCAACAGAGAGGGAATCCGGCTGTTGCTTACAGGTTTCTACAATCTCTTGCTCCTTTTTCTCTTTCTCTTTCTCTTTCAGAACATCGCTCCAATAGTTATTTTCGAACTCACTAAGCCAGTCGACATCTGCCTTCACGTCTTTCTTATTCACATCTGCACCACTCTCCAGATGACACATCGGGTTAGCTTCACCAAAGAGTGGTTTAGATTCGCAATCTGCATCCTCTGTTTTTACATGAGCACAACCAGGAGTCTCAACCGTGCACACCTCAGACTGACTCGAGGTGCTCGTAACCTCAGACCCATCGGACGGAGGGAAATTGAGACGAGCCAAAGGACCATACATAGCTTTAGCCGCCTCGTCATAAGCAGAGGCAGCTTCTTCAGCGGTAGGGAAAGTACCAAGCCAAAGTCTACTGCCACGATTGGGTTCTCTAATCTCAGCAACCCATTTACCCCAAATCCTTTGCCTAACTCCTCTGAAACTACAACGACCATTCTCAGGTCCTCCTTTACCTTTCATACAACCCTTCTTCGAACCTTTAGCAGGAACTTTCCTTTTCTTGGTAGAAGCCTCTTCCACAGTATCATTGTACTCTTTCCACCTCTTTAATCTCTCAGCCACAGTAGTACCATCACGTCTACTTCTCGACTTTCTCTTCCTCGATGTATCGAGCTGAGTTTTATTTATATCTCCACTCTGGTCATAAACTGCCATCTCCTTCCTAGTAACAACACAACCTACAAAACACAACACGTTTATATCAGAACACTAACTCAGACGTAAGACCAGAAGATCAAAAGAACCTAAATCGGTACAAAAAAAGACTGATTTATAGTCAAATTCCTTGGTCATCACTAGGTTTTGCAAAATTCAGAATCGGATTGATACGATCTCCTAGAATTTGATTAAAGCTACCAATTATACAGACCAAACTCCTAAAAGCCAAACATAAACCCTAGAATCATCAATTAACCACGATAGAGTTCCTCTTCAAGGCGAATTTAGGGAAAAATCAAAGAAATTGATCATAAATTAATTTAATAAGAACCCAGAAATCAACGTACCTATGGGAGATGAAATTGGAAAACTAGATGTTTGATCGAAATCAAATTCTCTTCCTTTGCTGAGATAAGTCGCTTCCGTGTTTAGTGTTCTTGCGCCTATCTTCTTCTCTGTAAAGCTTTTTATTTTTTTTCGTAGCAGACAGCTTTCCTTACTTTAGCAGAAATCAAAATATCTAAAGGAAGACAAGTATCGACGAGTATTTATATCCTTCTCTAGATTATTCTTATACTATTACTTTATTTATCTTTTTGTAAGCTAATAGTGACGTGTCAGGTTTTGATTCGAACATCAGGGCTTAGACGTCTTCTCGGAACGACGAGTGTCCCGAATGTTCTCGAAACACGCTGTTGATACGGGAAAGTAAAACCTTTTCTTAATTGAGTAATGGATAAGATAAGACCATCAAAACTACGGCTTTATTTTTAATATATATTTTTAAAATATCTCCCATTTTAAAAAATCGGAAATAAAGTTTGTTTCCTCCAGATTTATGTACACTCTGACAACAGATCATCGTCACATATGCTCTTTCTCGATTTTTCTTGGTTCATTGCCACAATATTTTATATTTTTAAAATCAACAGTTTCCACTTTCCAGTGTACATAAGAAACGAATTCATAAATCTTCAGAACGAGTATATCGAGAAACTGTGAACCAGAAAGGTCTTACTCTTATGAGAAAGGTCAGTGAAACATTAATTTATTGTTTTTGCTACAGAGACGTGTCAAATGGTGAAGCTCATACTTGGGTGGCTTAACATCGAGCACAGCGACAAAGGGTTCCATTATTACCATATATAATATAATAAACAAAACAATATTGGTTTGTTGCAAGTTGTGTAAGAGCAGTAGTCTTTTAATTAGGGTATCTTAGCATAATTTAGTATTAAATTTGGAAAAGTAGAGTTTAAGAGTTGTGATTTTGTTTTTAGTTTTTGGATGTATTTATTGGTAGGATCTTAAGTTGGGTATCTTAGAAAAAAATTATTTTTTAAAAAATTAAATAAATTTATAATTTGTAATTTAAGAAAATCTTATAATTATTGCAAATTTAGAATTTGAAAATATACATAAAAGATAAATTATAAGATAGAAATTATAACATAAAATACAATATTTTTAAACTTGATTGCGAGAAAATTTTGTCCATATATGCTCGACCAAAACGTTATTCAATTGTTGATGCATAGCTTGATCAAATATGTTATCAGATTAAATACCAATTTATTAAATTAGCGATTCAAACAACAAAATGATCCCATTTAACTTCAAAGGAGCATTGAGAAGCACCAAAGTTTTATATATAGGCTGAATATAACTCATAGTTATTGCTGTTACAAAAACCTCAAAAAATCAAAAAAAACTAGTTCAGTTTTGGTCGATGAAATCAGCTGACAAGTTCAAAATCCAGTAAAGTAACTTTGTTGTTTATGGGACATTTCGCTTTGGTTTCAAAGAGAGATAAAAAAAAAACTGAGTAAAAAAAAAAAAGAATTTAGCCAACCTTTTTCTGCCACGTATGCGTATCTTAGACATATTTCTGTTTCTTATGCAACATACGTATCTTACCAAAAATTCACCTTTTTGATTTAAATTTAAATCCTAATTATTCTAAAATATCCTTTAAATCCTATTGATAATGATGGTCTAAGCAAAGTAGTAGTAGCAGTCATATAGCCTTTGCATGTGCCTCATGTGTCCTTCTCTTTCAATGGCCACTTCATTCACTACGTGTCTCTAACGCCATCGCTAACGTATCACCACGCAGTTGCCTACGTAATCTAAAGGTACTAGCTTTTGGGCCTTAGTTATTTATTTTAAGGCCCATTATTTCGTTATTAAGCTGAAACGAGACCCATTACTGCTCGGATCATAAGCTGAAACTTTTTTTTTAATCTTTTCATAAAATTGGAAATGTTCTTATAACTGCAAACATTTGGTAAAGACAGAAACAACATAAACTATGATCGACATTTAACAAAATACAACAATTTTTATCTACCCAAACTGAAAGTGACATTTTATCTTTCAATGAATAGGCTTTTTTAATCCATTAACCAATACCAAAATCTTCTATAAATGCCTCCTTTTATTGAAACTAGCAAACAGGTAGATCATGAGGAGGAGCTTCAAGAGTCTCCAATTCTCCGACACCATTATCGACCAAGAACGCCATAGCCAAACCCCACTTTATATGAACATCCAAGTGACAATGCATCAACCAAACCCCTGTTTCATTACCAAAACAGCATTGTTTTCCCAAATTTTTAACTAGAATATAACTATTAATAGGAGAAATAAAACTTTGTTAATTACCTGGATTATCCGCCACGAATCTGATTACTGCCCATCCATTAACAGGAACAGCCACGGTGTTTCTCAGTGGAGGATCAACAAGGTTAAACTTAGAAGTATCTTTCTTGGGGTTAAAGTTACCAAACCCTTCACCAACTATGTAGAAATCGTAACCGTGAAGATGAATCGGATGATTCTCCGACGTTACAATGTTTGTATCCTGTAAAACAACCTGAACTCTTGATCCGTACTTGAGTTTATACAGTTTAGTACCCTTAACCGGCTGAAACAGAGCCCGGCTTATGTTATTTCCGGTATAATCGAATTGAACCGGCGGTTTGGCTGGGAAATCCGTCGTGAAAACGCCGGGAATGCCGTTGGAATGTGCTTGCAAGAGCGAGAAATTCGACGGTAGAACAAACGAAACGTTGTTCATGGAGGCGGTAAACCGGGTTCCGTTTAAGCCCTGGCACCGGCTTTTTGGGAAATTCTTGGGACAATTGTCGAGACCTAAACCGACGGTAAAGAACAGATCATCGTCGATTGTTTTCGGCACGACGACGTTTCGGAGAGATTTGAACTTTCTGGAGAATGACGTCACGGTGTTCGTGTCGTTGAAGGCGGGCAAAACCGGCAAGATTGGTGGAGATGTCGTTTTCTTGTACTGGAGTATTCCTGTGGTTGTGGTGTTATCAAACGGTGCGTTTTGGGCGCTTTGGTAAGCTCTTGCTGCTATGTAATACCGTTTTGGCGGTTGGTCGGCGGTTAGAAGTACGTCGGTTGTTTGGCCTGGACCTAACATAAGGACCTTTGTGGTGAACGGTTTCAGGTAAGACGCGTCGGCTCCAACCACGGTGAGCTTGTGGTTAGCCACTGAGAAAAACAGCGGTTGGTTTAGAGCTGCGTTGATCACTCGTAGGAGGCTTGTTTCCCCTGATTTTGTCGGTACTACGATAGTCTCTGCATTGTTTACAAAATATTCCAAAAACTTTAATATATCACATGCTTAATTAAGTTCTAGTCTATATAGACTACAATTAGTAATTTTATATGGATATAATATAGTTTTAAATTTTGTCTACCTTTGGTTGAGCAATTATAGAGATCACCGGGTTGACCGTTGATGGTATAGGCGTCGGATATATTCGGAGCAGCTCCGGTTCGAATCGCTTGGTTTATTACATCAACCGGATTTGCATTCCACCATTCACCTGTTTTAAAAAAAAAATATAAAAATTTGTTTGTTGTTAATTGGTTTAAAAAGATTCAAATATATTTTGTAGATCAGTACAGAACTGTGTATATATACCGAGCACGAGGGCGGTTTGGCGATCCGGTTTAGGAAAAGGGAAAGAGGAACCAGGGGTTGGGTGGATAATGAGTGCACCGTAGACGGTGGCTCGTAGCCAAGAGCTGTGAGCGTGCCACCACAATGTTCCTTCTTGGCCTTGGATAGTGAAACGGTAAGTGTAGCTCTTTCCCGGTCGGATTGGGCATTGTGTCACGAATTCAGGTCCATCTGCCCACCCGGTTCTTATCTGCCTAACTCCATGCCTGTTTTTGTTTCCAATTTTTATCATATATGTATACACAGTTAAAAAAAAGGCTTAATAGATAGTTAGATATAAAGCTATGTAATGTACCAATGGATGGTGATATTGTAACGGGCACGGTTATGCACTTTGACTTCAAGAGTATCGCCGTTGTTGACTTCGAGTGTTGGTCCCGGAAACATTCCGTTGACGGTGATAACGTTACGGGTTTTGCACAGCCTCTTCACCGGCGTCTCTTGTATCTAATTATAGTTGCGCACACACACAACAAATAAATAAATAATGACAATTAGTATAGTAGTCGTTGATGAATGTAACTATGCGTCAATGAATATGATGAACATGCAGTTTTTTTATTTTATTTTATTGAGGGACGTACGACGAAGTCATGGTGTTGAACTTTGGCTATAGTCGATGAAGCTGAGAGAAGGGAACAAAAGAACAACAAGAAAGAGAATGAGTGGACGGTCTTCATCGAGTGTGTTTAAGCTTTGAGCTTTTGATTTTTTTTTTAAGTATAAGGTGATTAAGAGAGATATGAGAGGAGGGTTTGAGAGAATTATGAAGAGGGAAAGATCCCTTTTATAGTAAGATTAAATGGGAGTTTTTGTTACTAAATTATTTAGGATTTGGAAGAATTAGGTGCTGATTATTCAAAAGAAATATAAAATTACCGGTCACCAACATATTTAAGTGTCTTTCTCAGTTCGTTGGCTATGTTTTTTATGCTTCCTTTCACACTTCTCATCGAAAACCAAAGTTTAGTTAGTTTTCTTCTATTTTAAGAGTTGATCAACCTCAAAAAGTGTTGGCAGAAAATATATGTTAATTGACATGAGGAATCATGATCACTTATGCCAAAAAAACATGATGTAAGTTTAGAAATTATATTAAACACCTAACCTCCATATGATTCGGTGATAAATTAATAAATTTACCTTGGACATTAGTAACAAAAAAAAAATGATACTCATAGTATATTTTACTATCTTGTATAACTTGATAGTTTGTATTGTATTTTTAAGTAACATAATTACACTAATTTATGAATACATGTGTAATCATGTTCTGCAGTCTGCACAACGCTATTGGTTACAAACTCGAAAAATAATTAAGTAGTTTTTTTCCCCACTCCGAAATTGAGAAGAGGACTTGAAATATTAAAATGGAGCAAAGACTTGGTTGAGGTAAGTAGTTGCACCCAACACTTAGCACAATTTCAACAAAGTTTAGTTGAATTGAACTCGAGTCATTTCATGTCATGTCTAATTCTTGTGTCTCAACTCTCAAGCTTCTTCCTTAAATCGCAAGTTTCTTCTATATCTTACCAAATAAAAAGATCATTAATCATCATTGGTAAATAGATATTTGGCAAATTTTTATTTTTTATTTGTTTGAATACTGAAAATCTCAGACTCTAAAATTAATGTTGGAATACGAACAAGAACAATATAACTGGGCGCAATAATCTTAAATATCAAAATTGAATTTTGAACTGGAATGCACATATTCAACAGATGCACGGATGAATTGGGTCGTTACTAATAGTCTAAACAATATCATGATTTCTTTTGTTTTTATCTTAACAAACATAGCATACGCACTGTACTAGAGAGTGTAACCTTCAAACAATAAACTAACAGCCAATAATAAAGTCACCTTTTCTCTTGTACTAATATTCAAATCTTTCATAATGCGTTTTAACAAACAAACACGATAAACTTATGTACTACGTTACTACGCATTTCACACTTGTCATTTTCCTTAAATCAAAAAACAAATTATTTTTACACGAGATTCGTTAAACGGAGCCGGTGTGACACTGATATTTTTGGTTAGACACATTTTATAATCAAATCTCAGTGCAGAAACATTCTGACATCTAACCACACTCATAATGATTGGATTTGGATCCTCCTGTTCCTAACACAACAATAGTCACAAAGCTTTAATAGTAATCAACCATTCGATAATCTTGTCACACACCTAACGCTATAGAAAGCAAAAGAGGCAAGGGAACGAGTAATGTGAGAATTGTTGAATCAGTTACAACATATTCGAAATCAATGGATGTCAAAAGAATCAGAATCTTGAATCCCTCAACTTAGAACCAAGAAGATCAATACTACATTCTCAATCACATATGGCGTAAGTAATTTTTAGAAAGAAACAATAAAGAATCATAGAAATTTGAGTTTCTTATACAGAGGACGAGTGCTTAACTCAGACACGACCTGGCGCAGGAGTTGATGCGGCGGCAACTGCGGCGGAGGTGGCGGCTCCGCTAAGGAAAGACAATAGTCCGGTGTTAGCAGGCTCTTGATCATCCAAGAAAAGATCCTCCGGAACTCTAAATGCGCCGTGCAGACACACAATTCCGAAACCGATCATCAAAGCAGAGGTCAATAGAGATCCAACGCTGGTCAAGAACACGACGACGATCGTCAAAAGCACCAAAACTCCAAGCGTTTCACGATCTGAGAACGTACGGCCGAGAATCACCAGCGGTTGGTCCGACGGACGGAAGAGGTAGAGGAAGATCCAGGCGCCGAAGAGGCATAGGAGAACGAGGAGAGACAAAGGATGGGAGAGGAGCGAGAGCGCGAGCACCGAGGACACGATCGTCACGTAATTCACCTTGAAGTACGGTAGATTCCTCCGGATCCGAGAATACGCATCGGTTAGAGAATCTGGCCGTGAAATCGCGCTCCGATCAACGAGTTCCAACCACGGCCGTCGCTGGGACAGGCTCTGGCGGATCGACGAAGAGAGACGAGAGAGGAACGTGCGAAACGCTGGTGCGGAGACGGTTTGCTGAGATTGGGAACCACCACCGGGATTTTCTGATATCGGTAACGTTGGGGGGTTAGCCATCACACACGGCTGCGCGTGGGGGAATGAAAGAGGCGCGTGGATACAGGACGAATGAATTGATGTCTTCTAAAGCAACCTCTTTCCGTGTTAACGTCATGATCTGATGTAAACAACATTACCAATCACCACCATAGACCGCACACTACACCGGAGCATCTCAACCGTACACGTGGATAGTAGCATAAAGTTATTAAGATAAGGCCCACTAATTACCCAGTGGGCTTGCGAAGGTTTGAACTTAAAAGCCTGCGTAAACATAAAAAGTCAGAGATACAAACGGCATCGTTCTGTGGATGATACGCTGGCTTATATTCCGGCTTGAAAGGTCGCCCTCGCATGAATCGGAGATTGACCGAGAAAAGAGAAAAATGGGGAAGCAGCCGGTGAAATTGAAGGCGGTGGTTTACGCGTTATCGCCGTTTCAGCAAAAGATTATGACGGGTCTTTGGAAGGATTTGCCTGAGAAGATCCATCACAAGGTCTCTGAGAACTGGATCAGCACTATTCTCCTTCTCGCTCCCGTCATCGGAACCTACTCGTACGCTTTTCCTTTTCTCTATGTCTCTCTCTCTATCTCTCTAGCTTTAGTCATTTAGCGAACAGATTTGACGGATGGGTTTAGTGGAAACTTGCGATCTGAATGTTAGGATATTCGTTTATTTGGCATGACCACAAATGGTGGTATAAGGAACAACAAATGGTTTAAAGGTTATTGTTTGGTGACAAATTTGGATTGTGTCGATTTTGATGTTTAGTACTGTTTCTGTGGATCCAAGTTTGAAGAGGAACCAAGATCTAAATTGATTGAATTCATGATGATAATGATAAAAAGAGAAGGCATAACCAATCAAAACGTTTCGGTTAAGTCTGAGTTATGCTTGTTGAAAATATTGGTGAACTAGTAGTGTGATGATTTCTTTTACCTGAAGCAAATGATTTAATGTGATGAACGAAAAAAAAGTTTCAGTAATTCGTATATTTTGTCTCAAGGGATTGAATCATGTTTAGCTGTGGTTATCATCTCTCATGGAAAATTAGGCAACATCATCTTCAGTAAACTTGCCTGTGTCATTTGCATATCGTAATGTTATAGACACTCATGACTAATATGATCTCATATCATTGGTTTCTTGATTTCAATGCTGATGTCCTGAACATTTTTCTTTTCTCTTGCAAATGAACACAGGTATGCTCAATACTACAGAGAACAAGAGAAGCTGGAGCACAGGTTCTAACCATGAAGATTATCATATGATAGTCCAATTCTTTCCTCATTTTTTCTTTCTCCAAAGTGTGTCCAAGTGACAGTTTGTTACCTTCAAACACTCAGATTAGAAGCGGAAATGTCGCTTCCTTGCATTTTTGTTGAATAAATTTGTGGATTTAATGAATAACATCCCGAAGGTTTGAGATCCTCTATTATCAGAATGCAAATGTTGAAGACTGTTTGTTTGTATAAACGGCATTTATTTTGTTGGGCGTACGAATTAATCTGGAAATGCATATGACATTGACATTCTTTGTTGAGTTTACTCGACACATGCGTGTGTGTGTGTGTTGGATCTCAAGATTTCTTATTGTTTGTTGAGTTTCCATCTCGTAGGTATGCATTAGATATAATTAGTCGATATAGACACAATCACTAGCATATACTCGATGATCAAATACGTACGGTTGTTGATGTGGAAATGCACAAGTAAAAAACCATAGTGTAATACATAATCCAAAATTCTTGGAAACAAATAGATAGAAGAAGTATCAAATTACAAGTTCAAAACCCGCGCAGGAGTCTCTCTGGGTAATAAACTAAGAAAAAACAGAAAACAAAGCACACAGCAGCACAAAAAGAATAACAGAGAATGGTATCACACACCTCTTTTTTGCGATGAATGCAACCAGCTCCTAGCAGCTTCCATTCGGCTCCAAACTTCCATTAGGATTGACTACTTTGTTCAATAAATTTGTGGATTTCATGAATAACGTCCCGAAAGGTTTGAGATCCTCGATATCCGGAATGCAAATTGTTGAAAGACGAAAGATTGTCTATATAAACCGTATTTATTTCATAGGGCGTAGGAAACCGTACGTTTATGTAGTCAATCCTCAAACAAATTACTTAGGACAACATTATCAAATGTATCTTAGAACTAAAATTTACATATAAGATACTTTCCTATGTAAATCTTAGCTCTGAGATACTCTTGATAATGTTGGTCTTACTTGGTACATCTCTTTCTAAACTATGCCAAAGGGAAACAGAACTTCCCTAGTGCATCTAATAATGGCCAAAATTGAACATACATACATAGATATAGAACTAAACTATGCCAAAGGGAAACCGAAAGTCTCTAGTTGGTAAAGAGTGTTTGGTTGCCTTCATCCCACTTAACAGCAGATTTCCTCACCTTTTGAAGAACCCTTATGACTTGTTCCTCTGTTACATTCCCACTGACTATCACTTTGTTCAGCTGTGTGTCCACATCGTACGTCTCTATATCTGTAAATTTGCATCATTTGTTATTTTATCATTCATGAACCAAAACAATCAAAATATTTGCTTTTAGTTGAAAATTTGGAGAGAAAGATACACCACAACTCTCACCTTCTATTTTCTTAATGGCTTTAAGTATTTTCCTGATGCATTCGTCGCAGTGCAAATTCACTTTTAACTCCACAACCTGTCGATCAAGAATAACTTGTGTCATTTTTTATTTATATTTACGAATTCAAACAGTCAAAACCAAAAAAAAATTAAAAACAGAGTAGATAATTGCATCAAACATTCAAGCGTGATTGATGATTTGCAGGAACACTCAAGGTACAATTAGAAGAAGGTAGATGAAAATAAAAGCAAAACATGTACAAGATCTTACTTACGTTAGCCATCACAGAAACTTTTGTGGAACAAAACGACTTCGTATCACTCTACTCCTTGGTAACTCGTTTCTTCGTGTAGAGAAGCAGAGAAATAAAAAAACAGAGTAGGTGTGTGTAAGTAACAGGTTTTGCTATGGAGAAACCAGGAAGGAGGAACAAACATATATATACATGATTCAATGTTATAAAAGACAAACAAAAAAAAGAAGATGACGAATGGGATTCTTTGCGTAAAGGATGCTAATAGAATGCCTCACTGGCTTCCACTCGCACAGAAAGGTTTTTTTAGTTCGCCGCGTTTGATGATAATAGGACCAAAGTAATTGTCTTTTCCTCATTTTCTACAACCGTTCGTTTAATATTGTATATTCAATTTTTCAACCTTTTCACACTACATTTTAAGGAAAACAATCATATCAGCAAATAGCATCATCATACCCTTCATTCGCTATTTGGTTAGGTTTGTAACAGTTTTGAAAACACGGTGAGCCAAGCAACTCCCATGTAAGACTTCATATCGTTGGATCTTATGTAAATCTTGGAAATTACTATTCAGTGTCATCAATGAACACAGACCCATCTTTGGAGAGATGCCAACATTTGTCCCAATTTTTAATTTAAGCTTTTTTTTGTTCATTCCATCCAAAGCCATAATTAATCGCACATGATTCTGGATACAAGAATATAAGTAGATTCCTTGAAGAAGACATATCAAGTGACATTCCATATTCCAGTTTTGATTCTACTTCTGGGGACAAAAAGAACTAGAGAACGCCTGGTAATATCATTAACTGCGTGGTAATAACTTGAGAGCCATTTTTGACCATTGGAATGATACAAAAAAGTATAGATGAAACAAAGGAGAGCGAGAGGGAAACTAACAACAAATCAAAGTCACTGGCAAATACAAACATTTGAAAAGGCCATCATCAATCTTTCTTATCATTGGAATCTGAATCGCTTGCATTATAACCTGACATTAGTTAGAAGAAGAACACACAAATAAAACACACAACTCACAAAACTAAAATCAACAAAAGATGCAAACAAAGTCAATGATTTATATTACCTGGAGGCTTAGCACTCACTTGCCAAGCTGTTGATCGAGTTCTTGAAGCTTTGCTAATCCAAGCACGACCCTTTAAGGATCAATATCAAAGACAGATACAATTCTAAATCAGAAACACACTTTACACCTTCAAACCAGAGCTGACCACATACATTTCAAGAGCCTTAATTCATAACAACACCTACTAACCACAGCATACAATGCACATACAGAGACGCAAAAAAAAAAAAAATCTTTGAAGAAAACAAGCTGAACCCAGAAAGGTTAAAGCAAAACTGAAATAAATAAAATCCTTGAAAAAGAGTGAACCTTTTGTTCATCTTTGGAGATTCCATAGCCGCTGCAATACATCTGACCGACCAAGACCTGCATACCAACGTCACCGGATTTGGCTTCCTTGAGCGTATCCTGGAACCAACGTCTCACGCAATCCTCGACGACCTGAGCAAGAGGAATCCGATTAATAGGATCCGAAGCCGAAGCCGGAGCGGGATTCGAATTCGAACCCGAGTGCGATCCCGCCTTCTCCAGCTTAACAAGATTGGGGAAATCGAGGTGGGAGGTGTCTCTCGTCTTCTTGACGAAGACTTTGTTCCGTGGAGGAGGAGTGGGTCTCTGTGGGGGTCTGTTTGGATTCTCTGAAGAGAGTCTAATGGCGAATTCTGCGAATCTTACCATCAATTTCCCCATTCAACCAATATAGGGTTTCCAATTTTTGGTTTGCCAGAGGATTCATTTAATTTTAATTTCTTTTGTTTTCTTCTTTTATTTTTTATTTTTAGAACATATAGCAACAAACAATTTTAAAAAATATATTATCTATCTGAATACATAGTTATAGAAAACCTTACCTATTTTCTAAGTTTTCTTTTATTTTGGAGAAACTATTACATGCTGGTTTGTATTTTCGTCAATGGTAATGACTAATGTGGGTTCATCGTAGAAAGGAGATACCAAAAAAGACGCATATGGTAAACTCTCTCATGAGATAGATGATAAAGAAATATATTTATCTAACTGAAAACGTTCAACCAACATCAGAATCCCTACGTGAAACTCACACAAAACTAGAAAAACTGTTAGTAGTTCTAGCTAGCTTCCCTGTCTATGAATGGAGGAGAAGGTGGACTTAGAGCTCCATCACTTTTATCTCCCAAGCAAGTTTCATCTTTCGATCTGCTCGGGCTAAGAGACGAGCCAGCTATCGTCGCAGCCATCTTCTTAGGCGAGCAACTCGGATCATACACACCGTCTTCACGAGGCGATGAAGATACTACAACCTCATCATCAATTTTACTATCTTCCTCTCTTCTTTTGCAGAATTGATCCTCCACTATTTCATAAGAATTCGCGGTCCGGACTTCTTGAGCTAAAGAGCACCAACAACAGAATAACCAGAGTGTACAATCAGCAATAGCGGGTCTCCCGCAACAGAAGTTATAACTCGGTAACTTGAATCTTTTCCTCATCTGTATTCTCCAGAAACCACCATATAGCAAACCAAACAAGCAAAGCACAATGCCGGTATATCCAAGTGCTTCCCTTACCATCTCATTATCGATGTTTATAGCAGCCAAGTTGAATATAAAGAAAGGAGCCAAACAGAAGAGAATAAAAGTCGCAATGTGCACATACATGTTCCCAAACCCAATCCTCTCCATGTTCCAACCAAACACACAAAAAGTGCAGAACAGGGAGAGATAAGCCAATGAAATATCTTCCCATATATCAAGAACTCCCCCTCTCCATTCAGGATTACTCACGTCTGTATAAGCAAATGAATATCTCCTTTCAAGAGATAACTTGCGATTGGTAAACGGTCCTTCCGCAGGCTGAACTTGATTCTCCTCGTCTGCTTGAGGATGATAATCTTTTCCAAGTGGACTAAGAATAGTGTACAAACCTGCAGCAGCAGGAGCTGCTATTGCAATAGATATGCATATAGCTACACCAATGGCGGGTCTCTCGGATCTTGTGTACCCTAAGTTAAGACCGCACAGCCCATACTGAGCAAAACAGTTCAAGTGAAGCAAAAGAACAACAACCATCATGTGGATCCATTCGTTTGGCTTGTAAGTCCCGTTCTCGCAGTAAATTTTCCTAAGCGTTGTAACATCATCTTGGTTCCATCTACAGAGAAGCACGAGGTGATAAAACCGTTTCGGGTGTTGATACAAACACATGAGAGTAAACAATGCGTTGAGGATTTGGTTGTTAACTTCAAACCAAACATCTCTCTGTGATTTCTTGGGCAAAGCATGGTTCAACATACCGGTCATAACCATGAACAGAATCGCACCAGAGACGGCAACCACAAGGATCCACAAGAAAAGAGCCATGTTAAACGGGTCTCTAAGCCATTGCTTACCCATTTTCATCAAGCAAGCCCATTCGATTTTCCGGGAAAACATCACACTAATTCTTTCCCGGAGATTGTGGTTGCTTGAGCTGTTCACTGAGCGTGAAACCTCATCTCTTTCCGCAGTCATTCTCTTGAATCTAGCAGAAGGAGAACCAAATTTCAAAAGCTTAACCCTATTAGAGACGTCAGGCAACGAACTCTCCGACCATCTCCTAGGTTTCTCTTCACTGAACAGAGCATTATCAGATATTGAGAGACCAGGAGGACATGAAACCCTAGCTTTTTTACAACTATCATCAGATCCTTCAATCTTATCATTTAAACCCATTGCTGAGCAAAAAAGGTAAAAGCAAATCCTTTTACCAGGAAAAGCTAGTCAAAGACATGTGCTTGGAACTTGGAAGCTCAAGACATTGCTGGCAAAAGACTGGAAACCAAATAAAGCAGAGTTACGAAAGCGATTCAAAGAAGAAAATTCTACATGTAGACACATTCAAAACGAACAAAGTCTTCAACTTTGACAAAAGAAGATGGAAAAAAACCTCAATTTGAACGAAATTGTTTGGAGCGAGTTACATGCCCAGAATTGAAATTGGCTAGTGGCTACAGTTACAGAGAAACCCAGAAAGAAAGAGACGATGGAAAGGTTGAATTCATAGGACAATCTCACGGGGGAAAGAGATTACGATTTGAGCCAAGGAAGGATCAATTTTAAAGCAAAAGATTTGTGAATTTGAAAGATGAGAATACAAAGGAAAGAAGTTTTTTTTTCTTCTTTTGGGTAAAGAGCAGTTTCCACTAGTGCCTCCTCCAAACAGTTGAAGAGCCATAGGTCAGAGGCCATGTTAGGCATGTCAATCGGGCTAGCCCGGCCCGGCCCGGCTCGAAACCCGTAAAGCCCTCATATATGTAAGCCCGGCCCGGCCCGGCCCGAAAAATTTCCGAGCCTATATTTCAAAGCCCGGCCCGGCCCTAACAGGGCTACAGGGCTTTTCGGGCTTTTTCGAGCTTTATTTACCGATAAAAAAATCAATTTCTAAGTTTATAATAGTTTTTTAAAAACTATATTTAAAGGTCTACTATTAAAATAATGCATCAAATTTTAAATAACTTATCAATATTCAATAAAACTAACTTAATTTAAGAGAAAAAATAAAAGCCAAATAAATTATTTACACTTTAACCCAATAAAACATGGAACTAAAATACTTTAAAGTATAACATAGAGTCAAAATTTAATAGATATTTTGATGATTTCAAAATCATGATACTTATATATATTTAGTTTTAGCTTTGTATAAATATTTTAAAAGTAATAAGTAAGACTAGTAAGTAAATATGAAAACTATAACATTAATCAAATCTTTTAATCAAACTAAAATATTCAAAAAATTCAAAATATATTTGTATAAGGGCTTTTCGGGTCGGCCCGAGCCCGACCGGGCTAAGCCCAAAAAACCCTTTAGCCCGAATGGGCTTAGCCCAAAAGGCCCGGTTTTTTCTGGACATATATATTTAAGCCCGAGCCCGATGTTTTTCAGGGCCGGGCCAAACTAGCCCGCGGGCTTTAGCCCTAATTGACATGCCTAGGCCATGTCACCACCTTAATGTTAAAATATCTAACTATCATAATTTTTTTATTTTAAAAATATTTAATTAAAATTATAAATACAAGCGAAATTGTTTTATGTGTTTCTTTACGCTTTTAATTGGAACGATATATAAAACCGTCCAAAACAATTGGAATGTAAACAGAATAAGTTAAGATGTCGAAAACGTTATTAGAACTTATAGAGGAGATGTGACGCAAAAAAACATGAAACGAAGAAGAAAGCATTCATAGTAATGTGTCCTAATAACTTCTTGACAACTAATTAATCAATTTGATAATGACAGTGTTAAACGTTTCCTCGTTATAACAATTAAAAGAAAAATATTAAATGTTTCAAATAACTTAAGAAATTTAGAGAGTTACATCATACAGTACGACGTGTATGTCGCACTCGTAAGCGTTTATACTCCAAAAAAAACATTCCACAAGTTGTGAGGTTTAGTGACATTTATATATTCTGGATTCAGTGTGTGTGGGCTTTGTATATGTATGTGGTGTGGAATTGTAAAACCTGAAAGTTATGTTCAGTTTTGGAAGAGTTTAGTCCACCCACAATACATCTGGTTATTAGGCCCAAATGCTCAAAACACGAATATTAGCCCTGATAAATAGTCTGGTTCGACTAGAGTATCTCAATATTTCATAGTACCGACCCGGTTATCTTTGGCAGAGTATGCTTGTTAATCGATGGTTAAACCAGCAAGTAAAAGTTGAAAACGTCAACTCTGTTTCGTGACATTCGATACTTTGACCGGGCTCTCTCACACTGTCACACACAGACTGTGTTTCTATTTTAACTCATATGTGGTTGCTATTATATAGATGTCAATAACAGCAACTATTGGGGAAGTTTCGTATTTTGGATTATTGACTGTACCCACCCACCCCCACCAACGTCTCACCGAAGTAAGCGTCGAACGATGGTAAACTTATAAGAAAATATATACATATCTAATGTACAAAGAATCTGCAGTATCTTAGTTACACAGTCAACTATTCATATCCAAAGCTGTAATATAAAAACACACTAGGCACATTGAGTCAAATAATCTCAATAATCATGTTGATCGTATAGTTTAGTTTAGTTTAGTTTTTTTTTTTCTCCTTTGACTAAAATAATGGAAGACGATCGACACATCTATATATATATATATATATATATATATATATATATATATGGTTGACTTGGTTCGGTTCGGATTAGGGATCTTAAGAGTTAAGACTTTGAGATACCTTACACATGGAAGCTATTGGAGCAGAACCACTTTCAGAATTATCATATTTGTAATTGATCGTTGTTGTTATATATTATATATTTTAAGATCATTTGTTACCTACAGGATTAGAGCATAAAAACATTTACTACCATAAAATGCATTCTTCAAACGTAAGATATAATTATACTCAAATCTTAAGCGGGTGCTACCTAAATTAACTGCTATGTAAACACTTCATTTCGATCGGTCTCTAGCTAGCTCCATAACCAGACTGAAAACTAGAGCTTTGAAGGGTTTCAACTCAATTTGTATCTTTCGAATATGATCTTTGTTCACCTTTGACTCGAGTTTACGATTAATATATTCATTTTTTTTGTATCATTGTGTTTTTGTTATTATTTTCTTGTTGGTAATATTTTATATTAATTGTCCCATCTTCCTTACTTAATCTTGACATTTTCTATGTAATTGACAATTCAAAGAGTGCTAACAAAAAAAAAAATTGTAGCAATTACTCACTCTTAACAACTTTTTCCACTCTTGACCTTAAAAAAGAGGTGCATATATTTTATAAATTCTGAAGCTGTTAACCAACGTACGTTAGATATATGATCCTTACAACTCATAAATATAGAAATGAAATCGAATCATCTGCTCTCTTTTTTTCCTTGTATATATTCACATGTATAGTGGAATTGTGAGTATTAGCAGATGTATTTAATTTAAATGTGGCAAACAAAAATAACTTTATAATAAAATAAAAATACGTGAGGTTTGATGACCAAATAAAAAAGTTAGTCTTATTCATTCTAGAAATGTCAATGAAAGTGATTGTGAATTTATAATCTTGTGAACATCATAAGCTTTGCTCAAATGGGCCAATAATAATTAAGTAAATAATGTAACGTTCCAAGTCAGCTTTCAACAAGCATATGCTTTAGAGTGGCTACTAGTATTCATAAATCTCAACATTCAATGGATATTTTTAGTATCTCGATTCTAGAAGCCTTTCTCTTTTTTTTTTTTCGTTCTCTTGATTACTAAAGAGAGGGCTTGATTAATTTTTTCTTATATAAGTAATTTTTAGGTTGGTGTGAATATGAGACCGGAGAACGGGAGAAGGTATCTAACTTTATTGTTGTCTAATCCCACTTTGTAGTTTGGTTCTTATATAACGCATATAGTAAACTGGAAAGTGAGAGGCGTGCCTCCATTAGTAAAGTAAAAGCCGCGTAGTGTAAAAGTGTATGACTTCTTCTTCGTCCCTTTAATTCTTGTTTTATATATATAGTTAGTCTCTTTAATCTAAATGTTTAAACATATAATTCGTTTTACGAGAAAGATCTTCACACTATATTAGTATACACATGCTTGCTCTCTAAATCAAATTGATCGTTTCAAAAGGTATCGTATATTAGCGCGAGCACAAAATCAAAGGTTTGGTCGTCTAAAGTATTAATTAGATAAATAGGCCACTATTCTTGACAACTCTCTAAAACAAACTCGTGTATAATTTTCCATGCTGTATATGCTGAAAAAAATATATATGTCTAATTCATAATATAAAAGTACTGTATATAGCGACTTTGATACATGATTTATTTCATTATCACGACCGTTAACCTAAAAAGATAATAAACATTAGTTAAGGCATCAAAATCAACGTGGAAAAAACATACGAAAAGCACTGAGTGATTAACCTGTAATGGGGTAGCGTAAGGGTAAAGATTGAGAATTTAGGGTTCAATCATGCGTAACTTTGTTTTGCTTTTATGTTTGGTTTTATTTGTGAACAAAACGTTTATGCGTGCTTCGTGGCATATTTTTTACCAAAGATCAGTCATGATTTTAATTTCAGTCGTCGTGATCAAATTTTCGTAAATAGTTTCTATATCTCTCTGCCGTTTTGATGTTTGAAATGAAAACATTGGAGACAAACAGATTTTGAACACACACACGCACACTAAAAGACATATTTCGACATATGTATATACTTTTGTGGCCTCTATCTTAAAGAAGACGCGTTTTCACATAGTTACCAATCATGTACTGTATATCGAATCATAACTAAATAAGATGGTTAAACAATGTATTTTACTAATTTCACCAGTCGAAACCGACAAATATATTGTATCAAACGAGCTAATTACATTTTGAACAAACAATTTCTTATCAACTAGTATCCCTCTTATCGCGACCAAATAATATACTCTAAGCTAGCTACTACCATATGTTATATCGCTTACAAATTTTGGTTTTAACTTCTCCGCCCGAGGGAGATAATAACAAAATCGATTCCATGCAAATTAGTGATAATTTTCAACCCTAAAAAACCAAAGATAAATAACAGAAATACACATTTTTCAACGCGTTAGGTCACCTATCTTTCACTTTAGAACATCCTTCACGTCTCTATATAAACCTCGATTCTGTTATGCTTTGTTCTCCAAGTACACATACAATAATCAACTCTAAGTCTTTTGCTTAACCTTACCAACCATGGCTTCAAAACACCTTATTTCCATTCTAGTTCTCGTTGTTACACTTTTACTCCAAGGCAATAACAATAACCTCGTCGAAGCACAACTCACCACTAATTTCTACGCAACCTCTTGCCCGAACCTCCTCTCCACCGTCCAAGCCGCCGTTAAATCTGCCGTTAATAGCGAGCGTCGAATGGGTGCCTCCATCCTCCGTCTTTTCTTCCACGATTGCTTCGTCAACGTAAGGCTTTCTTTTACACATTTATTTTTGTATACCCTAGCTTGCAACCCAAGAAACTTAGCATAATGCTTATTTCCTTCTAATCATATATAGTCATAACTTACATCTATAGGGATGCGACGGTTCGATTCTACTGGATGACACTTCGAGCTTCACGGGAGAACAAAACGCGAACCCTAACCGCAATTCCGCTCGCGGGTTTAATGTGATCGACAACATCAAATCAGCGGTTGAGAAAGCATGTCCTGGGGTTGTGTCTTGTGCTGATATCTTAGCCATTGCAGCTAGAGACTCCGTCGTAGTCGTAAGCTCCCTATGTCCTCTCTTAGTCCGGTTTTGTTGGCAATTTAAACCGGTCTAATTAACAATATTCGTCGTCTTAATTTGTTGTCTTTGTTGAAGCTTGGAGGGCCGAATTGGAATGTGAAAGTAGGAAGAAGAGATGCAAGAACGGCGAGCCAAGCGGCCGCGAATAGTAACATTCCTGGACCGACTTCGAGTCTGAGCCAACTCATTAGTAGTTTCAGCGCCGTTGGACTCTCCACCAGAGATATGGTTGCTCTCTCCGGTTCGTTTCGTTTCTTTTCTCTTCTTACCCCAATTCCTTTTTCGTTTTTATGCAACTATTTGTTTCGTACACTACTAACGTTGTTTTCGCAATTATTCTTAGAATATCGATTACTAACAGGTACTAAAATACATTGCCAAATTTTGATGACAAAAAAATTATATTTGATAATCACATAACATAATATTGCTTAAAGTTTTGTCTGTCACCAATTTGTTATATAAAAAAGGAAAATAAGAAAAGGTAAAAATATATATATTTCAAAGGACTATTAAGAGTCAAGCTATTCGACAGAAAAGTAAAATATAATTTGATTGTGTTGTTTGATTTTTGTCGACCCTTTTTTTTGTTTTGTTTCTTTGTGTTTTTATTTCAACACATTTTTGTAACGCTCCACCGACTTTTTCTGTTCTTTTCCCAAAATTACGTAATCATATAAATTACTGTTACGCACGCAACTCCGACATAGTAATTCAAATGATACTTAATTAACAGATAATTAAGTCAACTATTAAACTAATCATTCAAATTTTTGTTTACAGGCGCACACACGATCGGACAATCCCGTTGCACAAGCTTCCGAGCGAGAATCTACAACGAGACAAACATCAACGCAGCCTTCGCAACCACACGTCAAAGAACTTGCCCTAGAGCCACCGGCTCCGGCGACGGAAACCTAGCTCCACTCGACGTCACCACGGCGGCTTCTTTCGACAACAACTACTTCAAGAATCTCGTGGCTCAAAGAGGTCTCCTCCATTCCGACCAGGTGCTCTTCAACGGTGGGTCCACTGATTCCATAGTCCGTGGCTACAGCAGCAACCCGTCGAGCTTTAGCTCCGACTTCACGGCGGCGATGATCAAGATGGGTGACATTAGCCCCTTGACTGGTAGTAGTGGTGAGATCAGGAAAATGTGCGGGAGGACCAACTGATACAAACAGCTATACGTATCTTTTTCCTATTGGATGTTTTACCTTTTTTGTTATTTGAGTTGGTGTCTTGGTGAGAATAAGATTTGATCTTCCCAAAAAACATATCGAAGATCCCTTTTAATGTTTTTTTTTCCTTTTCCCTTTTCATGTTTTGTGTCGAAGCAAGTGTGTATTTTCGCATTAAAATCTAATGAAATTATATTTAAATTAATTTATTACGTGTCTAAATACTATTGGTTATCGTTTCGACCAAAAAAAACTAAAATACTATTGGTTATCGTTAAGGCGTTAATTAATGTTTTGAAGCGGGAGATTTTTTTAGTACGCGCCAAGTGTGTCCCGCGCGTTATCTGTTAAGCGTACTTTAGCAGTAAATCCATTAAACACTAAAATACGCTAATTGACACGTAAGCAATCCGATGATGAGCTCTCGTGCACAAAAACACAGTATGAGATACGAAAAGGTTAAACCTTTTTTTTTGGCTCTGTCAGAAATAGAAAAATTCCTAGATGAGCATTTATGGCGATTAGACCGAGAACTCGTAAAAGGGTTCAAGCTGTTCGTCGTGCTGCTGATGGAAGCGCTTTTGAGAAATGGTATTGCTCTTTTAGAAAGTTTTTTTTGGATTCGTCGATTCAGTTTTCTTTAGAGTGTTATCTAGATTTTTCGTGATACTCTGTTTCGGGTTTTTTATTACAGTGAAGAATGTGGTGTTATGATAGCGATTGCTCTGTTTGATATGCACGAGTGCGGAGAGAAAAGAAAGGAAGTGAAGAGATTCAAGTACATTGCCAGTGGCAAAGTCGATAATATCTCGAAACCATTTGGGAGCATTGAAGATGAGCCCAGATCACCGTTTGTCTTCTTCTTGTACAGTAAACAAAGACTTTTACTTTGTTACTTAATGCGGCTGTGTTAGATTTCTAGTCACTTTCTTGGGGTTTTTTTAGATGGAGGTGAAAAGTTGATTTTGAGTGGGTATAATAAGAATTTGAATGCTTAGGTCTAAAAGGGAAGTTATGATGTTAATTCATTTGGTCAATGTGTTTCCTTTTAAGTGAAAGGTTGATCCTTTTGTTGGTTCTCGATGAGTTGATAACATTTCAGTAACACTATTGTTTATATCTCTAGAGAGGATTTTAGGGAGAAGTACAATGGAAATTTGGTGGATGCTAGCAGAATATGTTTCAATGTGTGGAAGTACATGTCACCAGAGGTATCAGTTTATTCGTAAATTCGAAAAAAACTCTCTTTTTTTGCTCTCAGTTGCTTATCATATTCTTATAGGCTGGATTTTTGCATTTTTCTTGCTTGTTTTTTAGGAACAAAAGCCCTTCAACTCCCGTGCTATGGAGGTTGATTTGGCCCACAGCAGAAAGTTAAACCAAGAAGCTAAAACTATCTACAAGGTACATTAGATATCTGGCTCATAAACTGATGCGCTGGAAGATTCTTGTCTTTAGAGGGTATAGAAACTTGAAAGATGTGGAGAAGTTGCTTAGTTGATTGATTTTCTTTTATGAGACCAGAAACGTGTAACATATATATATATAATAGTAGGTATACTTGAGGTAGCTAATCTAGTGACAATGACATACTTCGGTTCTTTTAAGTATTTGCAACAACATTTGCCTAGAATTTTCATTCAAATCGTACGTAGCTAAATTTGAATCAGAGGTTGATGAAAGTTGTGATGACCAATTTGCAGGCAGATGAGGAGGCAGATTCGAAAACTGTTGGGAGATATGACAAGGTCAGACTCATGTTTTTTCTTTCTTTTCTTTATATAAACCAAGAAGCTTGAAATCATATCATGTATCATTAGCTTAAGCCTTGTCTGTGATTCCGTCTTTTGCACAAATAGTTGTGACTATGTTTCAATTTATTTTCCGACTACTTTACAGTTTTATGAGAGCTACGATCATCATGAAGAGGAGTACTATGATTCATCTGATCATTTCGCACATGAGTTTTGGTATGAGTTAACACAAAAGCTCTGAACAATACAACATTACTATATCCCTTGTTTTTGGCTCTTGTTATCTCACCTTTACTTTCATCGAAACAGGGAAGAAGATACTCTGCTCGACTACTGAGGATCCCGATTCAGTGGGGAAGGTTTTGGCTTTTTGGTTGTGTACAGGTTTAGAGATTCTTTTGGGGATTTATGTAAATATAGTGAAAGACTATGGAGGCTGCTGATCATAATTCCTTCATCTGTGCCTTTTAGAGGTGTACTTACTTGTTTTTTTTTTTTGGGTTAGCACTCTTTTCCCCTCGTCTTCTTTAATGGAAATGCCGGTTTCCTTAATAAACACATTATACTAAAACGATATTACCTTTGCTTATTCTGAAATCAATTTAGGATTTTCTATATCTTTGTTGCCCTAGCACAAACCTATTCTCGCGAGGAGCCAGCCTCTGCTCTTTGGATATACTACCAGTCACATGAAACAAAGGAAACAAAAATCTTTACAGATACACCACACATGGAGGAAAAGGGCACTCAAGATGACCCAAAGCCCTCATCGAATAGGGAGGAAACAAGAGGGCTGATAGGATTTGGGTTTACAATTAGAGTACATGGGCCTTAATAAGAGAATTAAAGAGAGAAAGAAAAAACAACAATAATTACTGTTTTTGCAATCATGAATTTTTCACCATCTCTCTTAGTCTCACAAATAGGAAATAAATAGTTATTTGTCCTGTGATTGTGTACACCAAAATGATTTGTTTATCAAAAAAATAATTGAAAACCACTCTAAACGATCGACGAAGGAAAAAGATTAAAAAAATCTGACTTCTTTAAGCTTTTAAGTTTTAACCATTACTCTGCCTTCTGAACCTTCATCATCTCGGTCGGGGTTAAAGTGTTGCTTTCCCATAACTCCTACATATGAAGTTGAAGACTCTCATCTTCTGCATCAATGTGACTTTTTAATTGTTCCTATGAAGATGAACCCACCTGGAGTTTCGCCAATTGTTCTTGTCGTCGGCCTAAGAAGAAGGCCGTAACTATCCATATGAAACACACCTGTAAAAAACGACAATGGAGACTTGTTGAGGAGTTTCATGGAGAAATAATATTCATACACTGAAGAACCATCTGAAAGTGAGAGGAAGAAGCTTTTATCATACTGGCAAGGCATATAGTGAAGCAGTTGATGTTTGACCGCCAAGAGCAATGGTAAGGACTTCAAATAGTCCCGCCGCTGCAGCATCTCCAAGCCGTTGAACAATCACATCTATGCATACCTGAAACCATGGAGCACAGAATGAGAAATAAAACCACAGTGTAACTTTTTGTCTTTTTCTTTTAGCAGAATTGATTTTCAATCTAAAGTTGAGAAAACGAAAGATTCAGTACCTTAGCTTTGTATTTCTCGTCTTGTGAGACAACGGTGAACAAGAGTTCCCTTCCAGGTCTAGTTACAACATAAGTCGTCACCTACCAAGTTTTAAAGTGTGCAAGAGCATTTAATGGAACAGTAAGGCAGCACGAGAGAGAATGAAGTAAACCACAGACCTTTCTCAAGGTTTCAGACACAGCAATTGTAACCCAAGTTGGCCATATGGCAATAGCAACCAAATTCCCAAGGGCAACAAATGGAGATGCAGATATTGCAACCGTGACACCGGCTATAGTCAAGATCCGACCCTGTAAGATTCAGCATACAAGCAGATATATGTGGACCATGATAAGAAAACTTCCAGGATGGTGAATCAGTGTGTGAATTTTGTCTCATATATAACATACCGTCAGAGTCAGTTGTCCAATGAGTATGAAAACTGCAACAAAGCTGTTTATCTGGGCAAACAGTCTTCTGCGACCAATGGAAGATGTGATTGTTGTGGCAATTATATTCACTTTCTGCAGTGAACATTAAATCATCAGTGAGACCATAAGAGTTAAGTTTTCTTTATGCTAAGTCCAGAAATTTCTTCTATACACTCCAAGAAAATAAAGGAGTTTTAAAGCCACAGCTCATATCAGAAGCGATAGTTTGCAAGCTAGTAACAAAGCGATTTTCTAATTTTTATGTTGAAATATTGTTCAAACGGCTGTTGGAGAACAAGGAGTCTTGGTTACTTTTCAAGGCAGGCAAATGAATAGTATAACAGGGTAGAAGACTCGAAGGAGGTGACAAGACTACCATTGCATTGTCAGCTATTTTTGATCTCACCTTCAAATGATTTAGCTAATCTTCTATCTGAAAAATCATTTAAATTACGATGATTTCTCTTACTTGGAAATAGAAGAATGAGGAGATGACCGCACCGAGCCAAAGGAACAGAGACACGAGCAAAAGATAAGGCGATGCTAGTATAAGTCTCATCCCGTCTAAGATGGCCCACAGCTGAGGTCTGGTTGTGGAGATAGGCGATTTGGGAGAGGCAGCTTTTGGAGAACCAACTTTTGGAGAAGAAGCTTCCTGTTTTCTCTCACTTTGATGATCATTATCAGTTCTCCTAAAAGAAATGACACCAAATATCAAACTCTCGACCAACAATGAACATAATTGAGTCAAACTCACAGTAGAAATCTAAGACTGATAGCCAAATATTATTCCAAACTTAAGATTGGAAAACGTAGCAAAAAATGGTGTGTTTGAAAAACATATTCATCTTTCACATATGGAGACAAATTGTAACTTAGCTAACCTTAGAGGAGACAACTCCTCAGAGGACTGGGAAAAATCATTGGTGATCCCTTTTGAAGACTGTGCGGCAAATTCCATCAAAAGAGCAGCAAATAGAAGTAGATCTGTAATGAATATCAAACTGATTTTTGAATCAACACGTCCTAAGAATATATCTCTATCATCCAGGTACTTATATTATAAATGGAACAATCATCAGACAATGTGATGCCTACATGGACCCATCCAAGCAGTCGCAGCAGCAAACACTGATCCAAAAAGCTGTCCAAGGGTAGCACCAGCACCAACAAAACCGAACAATCTTGCACCTGACTGGATTGAATAATGTGTTATGCTTGGGAAAAATACCCAATTCTTCAAAGTAAAGTGAAAAGGCAGCAGAAACTACCTCATTATCCATAACGTCTATTATTCTAGCCCATGTTGACGATATAGCAACGAGATTGAGCAAAGCAACCTAGGAAACAATAAAAATGTTACGTATCCAACTACATACAAAGGACTTGAGATTATAATACCAAACACAAAGAGGTAGTCATACCCAAAGGAAAAATCCAACTCGAACAGAAATGTAAAACCAGCCGTGGTTGTCCCATCCAGTAGCAGGATTAGCTCCATTGATACCAAGCTTTGGGTCTTTTGTTAGACCGGAAGCCGAATCAACTGCATCCTTTGAAGTAGCAGTATGTGTTAAACCATGGGACATGAATTATTTCAGACAGCTTATGAATAATAAAAGCGTCCTATCTTACCTTTGAACTAGATGGCATAGACTCTGTAGGGGAAGCCCGCCAAAGAAGGAAACACAGAACAAGCGATAGACTAAAGAATCTATGTATTATAACCAAAGCCTGCAATTTCGAGAAGCATGTATAAGATTATAAAGAAAAGAAAAAACACAGTAGAAACTATATCTCATTTGGTATACTGTTCCAGGAAAAAAATAAAATGCGAGAGACTATACAGCAATTTCAATGCAGAATTGAATATAGTTTGCTACAAATTGGGAAAAGAAAATGCTAGAAATAGACAAGAGTACCTTGGATTTGGACAAATTGGGTAAAGAGAAGATCAAGGTGGAAAGAGGAGCGGCAATCAGAGTGAGAAACAGAGATCCAACGAAGAGGCCAGGGAGCTTTGACAATCCCAGCGATATTGCTCCTTCATCGCGGAGTGGAAGAACAACGAAATACGCACTCAAAATCTGAAAATTCTCAGTAACAATGCCATAGTTAAGCAACACTCAAAATCAATGGTTGAAACGAACAAAAATTGAGACAGAGAGAGAAAGAGGAACGATCGGTACGAAGAAGAAGCAGGAAGAGGAGTGGAGCAACGCCGGAATCTCGTGCGGGTGAACCGTGACTATAGCCGAAACAACCACATCTAATCGAAATCTGCCAGCCATTGGAACCCTCTCCGCTGTTACGAGCTCGAAGGTCAACGTCTCCGAAGACCGATGAGAGGCATATCGGAGAAGTAAGAGACGAAGAAGACAACGGTATGTCCTTCTATGGAAAGACTCTATATGATTCGGAAGTAACGGTGAAGGCCGCAAAACGGAAACTAGTGTATATATTATTCTGAAGGATAGTTTTTGGTCCAAAATAGCCCAATAAAGGCCCATTCAGTTTATGATGAGAATTAATTAACACAAAACTTTTCATTACGAATTTTCTAATTTAGCGTATTAGAGCAGCTCCATTAGTGTATGTTAATGAATAATGAGTATGTTAAGAAGTTTTTAACATATTATTGCTTAAAAATAAATAAAAAATACAGAAAACCTTAAGAGACATATCTAATTTGAGAGGTTTTACCAAACAAACTACCGAAGTCTATAATGAATCAACTTGTCATCATATCTCCAAATCGTTTTATTCACACCTATTTAAAATTCAGAAAATTTAATGAATATATATTACAAAGTTACAATAATGATATATGTTACAAAATTTACAATACTTATTAAAAGTGATATATATATATATATATTTCAATTGGACCGGGAAACTAAAGACCTAGTCTTTACAACTCTTTTATGTCCAAGACTTGCCGCGTTATCGTGCAAGACTGCAACTGCCATTGACTGACCAGTGTGAACTTCTCTACATCCTTACACATTATATATACTAGACATGTACATTCACGGATCTTCAACAAATAACACAGTAACGAAGAAGAATAAGAAAAGAAAAAACAGAGTAAACAACACAAGAAAATGGCTAGAATTGGAGCTTTCATTATATTTTTCGTCATCTCTGTCTCGCTTGCTTCATTCTCAATAGCTAGAGAGTTTCCAAGACTTCCGTCGGTAATCGATGGTGTCATCTTCTCTGGAGGCATCCCTGTTGTTTCCAAGACGACGACGGTGGTAGGATGCGACGGCGGCCAGGATCATCACTTCTCGGCGGAATATTTGTCGTTTATCACCGGAAAATACGGGTCGTTGGTGTTGAACGCTCTTCCGAAAGGGTCAGTTCCGGCGTCTGGACCCAGCAAGAGGATCAACGACGTTAAGACTTAAGAAAAATTGACGTCACTCGGTTGACTAAAAGTCACGTATGAGTATGACAATTTTTTTTAGTTACTATTATTCTTTATTTTTTAGAATTTAAGAATTTTGTAGATATCAAATACTATACATGTGTTATGTTGAAAGTAATATGTTGAATTGCTAGCTTTTGGTTCTTTCGAATTCAAAGAATGAGAAATTAACTGTTTCATTGCTTTTCTTAGGAAAATATATAGAAAAGTGGATATAATCCATGACAAGCAGAGTCTTGTCTTAGACACAATCATTTTGACTCTTCTTGTATGTAGTCTCTTTTACTTTCGGTTGATACATAAAATTTAGAATTGTCCGCCTTCAAAAGTTTGACCGAACTGCCAATCATCAGGCACAACATCGTAGCTCACAACAGCCCGACCGTCACTAGCAATGACTTGAAAAGAGAGGCTTTGACCTCTAAGGTAAGTGTTGCTTTGCCAATTCTGTCCCCAGTTTCTTGACATGGATTGCCACTGATTAGTCTTTGATCCTTTCAAAGAGACGGCCCTTACATCCCCAGCACCACCCACGTTTGTGATCAGCACGAGGTCGAAATACGGATTCCCGTTTATTGTGAACCTTATACCTCCACCTTTCTCACATGGAACCCTGTCATTATAAATGGACATATAAATTTGTTACATATATAGTTTCAAACTTGAGTTAAAGGTGTTTCTAGCTAGTGAAACCTATACCTTCGAAATGCGACAGGAACGATCCCAGCTCGGTAGTGAGCAATTTGGAGGAAGGCAGGCTGGGCTAAGTCAAAGTGCTTGAGGGGAGGATTGCACCAACCACCATTATCATTGGCTAAGGCAAAGTTTGGTGGACAGAAGTTTGTAGCTGAGACGATGATGGAACCAGGGATGCACCACTCAGGATCATCCTCACACTGTAGCTCAAAGCAAGCCCCACATCTCTGTCCGTTGTTGAACAAAGCAGTGCTCAGAGCCGCGGTTTGTAGCCCATAGCCTTGGCTGTTTAAGTTACCGTACCCACACGCACCACCTACAATTAAACCCCAACAAGTCAACTGTTAGACATGTTAAAATATTATTAATTTGTGGATTATAAGTGAGCTCATGGAAAAAGTAGTCGTTAAAAGTACCCATAGTGCCGGATGCATCAGCTCCGCCGTAGAAGGTGGCATGGCCTCTATCCCAGCCTCCGTTGTCGTCGGAGTTAATAAGGTAGAAGCAGCAACTGAGGGTACATAGTGAAACAAATAAAATCTGAGAGTAAACTATAAGATTCATGATTTTGGTGGGGGATAAATCCGGAGATGAGTAGAGTTGGATAATTCGTTGAAGACTTCACTTCACTTATATAGGGGTTATAGAGAGTTGATCACTACTGCGTACATCTCTTATGATGCGTTACTACAAATAGTTGCTTAACAAACCGTAACAATCGAAGAAGGTGACATAATCGGATCGGTCTTAATTTCCAGGAATTGCGTTTGTAGGTTGCGCCACATTATGTGAAAGCCTCACATGTAATTCCGTTAACCATTCCAACGGCTATACCGCATGGCGCCCTGCTTTTCTGCGCCACGTGGACGTGTTTCATATCCTTTCTTTTAAAAAAGTATCTTAGCCCACATCACAGATTCACATGTCTAATTCTTTAGTCGGTTGGGTTAACCATACACATAGTTGAAGGGTTTTTTTTTTTTTTTTTTTTTGGGTTAATTTATATAAACATAGATATCATGTATTGTATGTGCAAGTTCATCAGTTTTAAATAAAGACATTTAGAGGGGTGTATTCAAAGTAGAATAAAATTTTTATTTATCTATTTATATATCATAATCATGTACGTATAGTCTAATAATCGTGTCTTAATTTTGTTGATCTCTTAATTTGTGAAGTTCGTTTCTTTAAATTGACCAGTACACTTTAATGAATCATATAAGGATATATATACTTTTAAGTCAATATATAGGTTAGATATGAATAGGAAAGAAGAAACAGAACATGCAACATGAGATAAATCCAAGGCATTCATGCATGACGACGTACTCGATCGGCGTATGAAACTGAGCAAAGAGATAGAGAGGAACATGAGATCGTCCGTTGTTTCCGGTAACAGACTTTCTTTCAATCAGTTATCAGTTTAATTTTATCATCATCATCATCATTATATTATGGTATATTACATTCTTCGTCGATATGAATTCAATCAAACGGCAAAAGTTAATAAGATATTGCAAATTTGTAACTTCAGACATCTAAAAGACCAAAAGAAGTACTCTGTACTGGTATATAATCAAAACCACCGGTTCTGCCGTTTGTCATCAGTATCGGGCATTTATACTATAGTCTATAGACATATTAGCATATACCTACCCCTACCCACAAGATTTAAGACGTTTGATCGAGACACTGATGACAAGAATAAAGCACACAAACCGCCTCTTAATTGGGCTATATGGTTCCCTGATTCGTGGCCATCAAGGCCTGATGAACGATGAATGATTAACCAACCAAACGATATGAAAACAGTCAGAACACTAGACTTTCAAATTCAGTTATATGTTCTTTTTGTGTCATGTGGTTTCAAGATTAACACAAACCAAATCGATTGTTAGCCTAATTACCAAATCAGAACTAGTTATAGATTTGCTTTCTAGTCGTACCCCCCATTGTTACCCTTTTATTTTGATTATAGTTTGGGATGATTTTATAGCTTTAGACGACATAACTATTTAGTTGATCAAAAAAAAAAAAAAAGGGACGACATAACTATTTCAAATCTGAAATAAACAGCATTTGTGGACCAATTTAGCCACTAAAAACTTATTAAAGCTATATATTAATATACCCCAACGCTTAGTCACCGACAACAACTTCTAATAGATCAAATTTAATCGGCTTTAATAACCCACAAAACCTAATTTACATCACTATTAATTACAAAGTATAATAATTTTCTAATGTGGAATTTCAAAATCATAAAACCGATGCAATATGTCTTAGTTATTGTGGCAATTCCATGTAGAATTCTCACAAAAATAGTGCATAAGTAAGTAATCATGTTTAAACATTCATATATGGCATTACACACACTTATATAGTAGGTTGACCGTTGATGGTATATAGGTCGTCTTATAATGTAGTAATGGAGATATAGTGGATATAAGAGAGACAAGTGTTTGTGTCTCTTGCGTGATAGAACTCGTGTGACTGTTTGATTTGTACATCCGTATGTGTGGAATTGGATGTTGCCAATATGTGTGGACCAAATATCCCACCCAGATACTTCCTTTTCCTTTATGTAGACCATTCATTTCAAATCCATCTAATCCTTTACACATTTTTGTTAACATAAAACTACATTTTAATGTACCCTGATGATAGTAAATTACTAGATTTGCAAAAACAAAAAGTTTACATCCACCTAATAGTTCCATTCTCTCAATGATCATGATTTGAGATCATGATTAGTTGAGAATCTGATACCTCAACATATATATAAATATGTTTTATATAAAAAATGATCGAATAATGTTTATTTTATTAACGACTCGTTTCTCAGTAATTAATTTTCTTTCTATACGAGAGTGGATTTCATCTTGCTTGATTCCAAAGTTCTCAAGACCACTAATTGAGAATTCGTTATACATCAATTTTTAATATCTACTCAACAAAATATATTCTGCATTATTAGTTGTCTTTTTGGCACTGTCTTTTATGTTTGTCTCAATTACTAATTATACAAATCCATCAAAGAAGATTATATGCCACAGTATTTTCTCTCTTAAATTATCAAATTTATATATCATCAAATCTAACCAAAGATTTCTTGGATCGACCATCTCATCATCGTCCCCTCTCTCCCTCTCCTTTCCAGCCTACCCATTTCCTACTCTTACATTACAACTTACCTTCCTTTTTGTGTAAAACCCAAAGAAGAACTTGTATAAAGAAACTGAATAGAGAACTAACTAGCTAGAAGCTGCTCTGTTGATTATCATAGCATGAAGAAACTTGACTCTCTTTTCTCATCAATCTCTTTCGTAGTCCGATTCGAAAACGAACAGGAAGAATAAGAAGAATCTTGAAGGTGAGATTATAAAGATTTCTGTATCTTGTTTCTGAACTTTTACAGATGGGCAGGTTTTTACTTGAAACGCAAGCAACCCCGGCTATTTCAGCTACGGATGCAAATCCTAGAACCTTAGGAGACTCTACCGGCAACAACAAGAATATAGCTAACATGGATACAAACATGGTGATCATACTAGCAGCTCTTCTATGCGCTTTGATCTGTGCTCTTGGTCTCAATTCGGTCTTGCGCTATGTCTTACGCTGCACAAGAAGGTTCACGACCACCGAAGAACTAGTTGACAACAACGCAAACGCAGCAAAGGGGATTAAGAAACGGGCGTTGAAGCTGATTCCCGTTGATTCATACAGCCCTGAGTTAAAGATGAAAGCCACCGAGTGTTTGATCTGTTTAGGAGAGTTCCTTGAAGGAGAGACAGTCAGGGTTATGCCCAAATGTAAGCACGGGTTCCACGTCAAGTGCATCGACACTTGGTTGCTGTCGCATTCCTCTTGCCCCACTTGTAGACAATCACTCCTCCAACTTCAGACTCCGGCAAATGGTTCCCGGCGGGATGATGACATGGCAATGTTGTAAATTAGAGCTGTTTACAGTTAGGGAAGTTTCATCCAGAATTTTTAGTCATAATCTTGTAAGTTTGGTTTTGAGAATTTTTTCCGGGTTCGCCTTACTTGGTTTTGAGGTTCAGAACCTTGCATATATTTTATGTTTTTAAAAGCAAAGTTGATAATAACCTTGGGAAAAAAAACTGCCGAGGTTCTTACTGACTCACCTCATATGGTTCTTGGCTTGTTATGAAGAAGGTGTCAAATCCAAAGACTTACCTCCTGAGAATATCAATAATTTCCTTGGGTGTCTCATGGAATCATCCAGATGTAATATGGCTGTTCACAACAACTTTTAATGAAAGGTAAACAAACCGAAATCATTAAGCAACCGTCTTTGTAGAAACTGAAGAATGAAATTGCATCTTTTTCACTCTATATGACTCCTGTTATCATCTCTTTGCCTTTCTCTGCTTGCTTCTCTAGGATTATTATGAAACAATAAAACGATTAGACTCAATTTATAAACTAATGTTTGGGACTCAAGTTTTCCTTTTTTTCTACACTTGAATATATGTGTTGTTTCCTTTTTCTCAGATTCAGAGCAAAATCGAACCCAAGATACGGCCAACGGTTAGATAGTTCACTGATGACTTAGGTTTTGCCACGTGTAGTTTTCAGTTGCTATATATATATATTTCTTCTCCTCTGCTGTAGTAACTTATGCGCTATGTTATTTATCTGCTTAATGCAACAAAAGCAAAGTTACACAACATGATCACAGACCAAAGACTACAATAAAAATCAAGAAATTTGTTGAATGATATATATAGGCCAAGATGCATACAATAAGCTCCACAAAAATTTAATCTGTATGCTTTTAAATCTCGAATCTTAACGAGTAATGATTTAAATTGAGAGATATACCTATTGTTTGATTGTAACTACAGTTAACCAAAAAAAATCTTGATTTGTACAAGTTATGACAAGAACAAGATGGTGATTATAAAGTTTCAACAAAATCAGTATCCTTTTTTTTAGTCGACCATGCGTTAATCATCTTATAAAAATAACGAACGACAAATCTCTTATTTAACAAGGACATAACATAACACAACACACACAAGTGGCTTTTTATTTATAAAGGTAGATATTAATTCCTAGGTTAAAAGTGTGGACAGAGCATCGGCGAGAGAGACAATGGTCGAAGGAGAGACTCCTCTACTTCCAGACAGATACCATCGCTGCATCATTCCCACCACATTCGCATTCTCCACCTTCAGTTTCTCCTCTTCTTTACCTTCTGTCTCAAACCCGATCTTACACCCAAAAAAAAAAACATACATATAAATTGTCTTAAGCCTAATTACGATGTGATGTAATTGCTCTAAAAGGTGTTTAAAAGACCAAATCATTCGTATAACGTCGCTAAACGCAAAACAGAGGAACTCTGTTTTTTTTTTCCTCTGTTCCACATGCATTTGATGCTTGGGTTTATGCTTTGCAACATTGATTAATGTTAAATTAGGGTTTGTTATGGGCTTCCAACTCAAAACCAATTGGCAATGACTGGATTGGTCCTAACCCTTTATATATTACTTAAATCCCTTCACATCTTTCGATGTGGGATCTTTTCTCCACAATTAATGAACAACTAAAACATACGTTAATAGGCTCTATCTAGATTTATACCTGGCAAATGCCATCTTTGGGTGAGAAATGGTAAGTGATGATGGAATTGGCTTTGAAATACTTAGACTGGAAGAAGCCAACAACTTTCTCGAGCTCTGTTTCTTCTTCTTCTTCGTACTTATCTTCCGCAGCCAAACGATCTCTCACAGCATTCTCTAGTTGCACTCCGTACTGAGCTCCTTTTATCTCCTTTATCACCACCACTCTTATAACCTTCTCCATCTCCCCTGCAATAATTTAAAAACCGGTTTAATTTTTGTTGACACGTACTAAACCAAAAAATTAATAAAAACCAAAGAGCCCTAATTAAAATTTGATTGGTTAAAAAAGTTACCGGAGGCAAGGGCGTCGAAGAAGTCGTCATCGCCGGCGAGATCTTCACTGGTCTTGCCTTTCCAGTTAACAAGATGGGTTTTAACATCTGAAGGATCTAAGTAAACTCCGATAGCCGTGAACTTCACTTGAAGAAAGTGGATCTCGATGTCTGTGATCCCTATAACCAGAATGATAACAACACACATTAAGTTATTACCTGAGATTATATTACATTATTAAGGTATCAAACATTACGAAGGCAGAAGATATGTTCTTGTCTTAGGAAAAAAGAAAAAAAGAAAACCTTGGCCGAGAAGAGAGAGTGGCTTGGAAGTGATGATCTGTGGAGGAAAAGGAACCTCGTGAACCATTACCATCTCTGTTCCCACTGTTTAATTTAACAAACAAGAAACATAAAGATTTAATATACAAAATGGTTAAAAGCAAAAGAGAAAATTTGGTTGGAATCAAGAAAACAACGCAAAGAGTGTTGTAGTAGACTTACTTTCAATTTTCTATATTCAGAGAGCGAACAAGTTTATAAAACAGCTTAGTTGTATCTGCTTTGTTTTAGCTAAGAGAAATAATATCTGTATGAATATATCATCACTAGTATATATATATTAAGGCAGGCACTACTGGTGGTAGGTAACATAATTTTGCTAACGTTCAAAGCTTGTGATCTACAAGACGACGCATTCCCTTTTGTGAATTGAATTATTTTTGTTACCCAACCCATTTTTTTGTCATTGAATGTCAATGTATTATGAAAAAAATGTTTAGCGACCCACCAGGAAGCCACGTGTGTAGATCAAGTAGTCAGTCCACAACCACTCGTTCTACCTAACAGTTATAGATATAGAAATAAAACTAAGAGAGATTCAAGAAAGAAGAAAAAAAATGTACTAGGATGATGCACGAGATAGATATCAACGTGAAAGAAGCATGCATAAGTTATATATACTATACTATACAACATAAGAAGCAGCCACATTTCTCCACAAACTCCGTCGTCATATCGGTCCCTAAGACATACACATAGGCAGTTCCAATATCATTAAGTACTTTTTTCTGATTAATTTTTAAAAGTGAGTTTGTAAAAGTGGAAGTCTAGGATTCTATCGTCCAAATTTGCAAAATGTTATGGAATGTCCAATATTGGTTAATTATTAGTAAATTTTCTGGTTCTTACATAACTGAGACGATTTTTTAAGTCTCGATAAAAAGATGGTCGGCCACTCGGCCTTATAACAAATATAACGTGGGATAGCCATTCACTTTCATCGTCCTAATTAAACGAACCTTTATAGTATTTTAAATGTGTCGCAACCTAAAAATCGGAAATGATCGATGATATAGTGATGCTAAGGCATAACATCCACAAGATATAAGAGTACTTGATGTTGATGATGGAACCCATTCCAAACATTCATAAAATTATAGACATGATCTTTAGTAAACAGCCCAAGGACTGACATTACGACAAAGTAGACACCGGCCGGCAGTAGTACACTAGCTATTTGTAATTAATATATTGTACCATTCTTCTTTTTATTTATATTTTTTTTTTATACTAGTCAAAATATATCATGTGAGTTACTAATTTTGAAACCAAACTTTATATAATAAAATTTAAATTATAATTTTTCTCATCATTTTTTAATCACTGATTACATAATTTACATTAATTTAATTTGAGGATGAATGAGATATTCATTAACTTTTCTCTTATTATCATTTTAATTCAAGTGTATATTTTTGGATTAAGAATTTTTCCTATTTATGATAATATAATGTTTAATGGTTAAAAAAATTTACATGTATGAATGAGATATTCATTAAACTTTTATTTTGCTTTCATTTTAATTCAAATATCTTTTAAACATACGATTCAAATATATCTTTTAAACATACAATAATTTTTTATACATGTCAAAATATGAATGAAATATTCATTAAATTTTGGAGGAATTTCAAAAATACCCCTTTTCCAATACCACTTTTTAAAAATACCCCTCTTTCTAATTTTATCAAAAAGTCACTATAAAATTTGAAATTTATCAAAAACATATGTGTAAGCTTATATCTATATAGACACAAATTATCTTTATATGTGTGTAGATTTACATATATATTTCATAAATACCGTATAAATACCTTTTAAAATTCATTTAAAAACCTTATAAAAACTTTGTAAACCTTTTAAAAATCTTATATATGCCGTTTAGAACTTTAAAACCTTATAAATATTTGGATTTAGTCTTGCAGTAGTAATGATGATCTTGATGTACCTTATTAACCATATAAAATTTTATAATTTTTCATATATGAAAAGGAGTATTTTTGAAAATTGATATAAAAGAGGGGTATTTTTAAAAAATGGTAGACCAAAATGGGCATTTCTCAAAAATCCTCTTAAATTTTTCTTTGATTTGTTTTAGATTAATACAAGTATAGATATCTATTTAGATTTAGTTTTTTTCCATATTTATGCTAACATAATATCTAAATCTAATTGATTAAAGCTTTTTACATTTGTTGAAATCTTTCATTGATAAACTTGATACGTTTCAGAATTACGTCAGTTATTTAAGTTTATATAAAAAGATAATTTTACTAATAACTAGATTGGTAGTAAATTTTATGTTTAGTATTTAGATAATTGACGAATTTGGGGAATATTTTTTTGGTAAATAGAATTGTGCTTGATCCGCGAGCCGGCCACAGAGAAAGAAAAAAACATGTCATATACATATGAGGTGTTGAAAAATCACGGATTCTTTTTAGGTGTTATTCTTCCAACATTTAAAGCAAATTTATCTTCTGCAGATTACACTTACACAAAACATTGCAAGATTTTCATGGCTATATAAATAGGCTTTATTCTTCATCATTTCATATTACAAAAAACAAAAGCATCCTCCAAAATCCAATAACAAAAAACATGCTCGACTTCACCGCAGTGCTTGCGTTTATTATATGTTCTCTCCTTCTTGCACTAACCACGAAGCGTAAGAAGTCAAAGAAAACCGTGTCAGTGACTTCCTACACAAGAAAGCTCCCTCTCCCTCCAGGACCCAAATCTTGGCCTTTAATCGGAAACCTACCGGAAATATTAGGGAGGAACAAACCGGTGTTCCGATGGATACATTCTCTCATGAAAGAACTCAACACCGATATTGCATGTATTCGTCTTGCGAATACTCACGTAATACCCGTGACATCCCCGAGACTTGCGAGAGAGATTCTGAAGAAGCAAGACTCCGTTTTTGCCACTAGACCGCTAACGATGGGTACGGAGTACTGCAGCCGCGGGTACTTGACCGTTGCGGTGGAGCCACTAGGAGAGCAGTGGAAGAAGATGAGGAGAGTGGTGGCATCTCACGTGACGAGCAAGAAGAGCTTGATGTCGACACTTCAAAAGATAACCGAAGAGGCCGATGACCTCGTCCGGTATATCAATAACCGTGGTAATGGTAATGGTTTTGGGGTTATTGATCTAAGGCTTGCAGTGCGGCAGTACAGCGGAAATGTAGCTCGGAAGATGATGTTTGGTGTAAGGCATTTCGGTAAAGGAAGTGAAGATGGATCGGGACCAGGCTTTGAAGAGATTGAACATGTCGAATCTTTGTTTACGGTTTTAACTCATCTTTATGCCTTTGCATTGTCGGATTATGTCCCGTGGCTAAGGTTCTTGGACTTGGAAGGCCATGAGAAGGTCGTTAGTGGCGCAATGAGGAATGTAAGTAAGTATAATGACCCTTTTGTCGATGAAAGACTCATGCAATGGCGTAACGGGAAATTGAAAGAACCTCAAGATTTTCTCGACATGTTTATAATGGCGAAAGACGCTGATGGCAGGCCTACTCTGTCGGAAGAAGAGATCAAAGCACAAGTAACGGTATGCATATTTATTGACTTATAGCTATCACAATATATAGTGGCACAATATACAGTGGACCACTTTTCGTGGTCACCAGTCTCTGACGTCATCGGTAATGCGTGTGATGGGTTTAATTTACAAGAGTAATCATTTGTCTTAGGATCGCTATATACATGCCTAGAACTTGGCAATAAAGGTGCATTTATATATGATAAGCAAAACGTTTTTATTTTATTTTAATTTAACTAATTATGTACATTGGACTATTATATATGAAGGAACTGATGTTGGCCACGGTTGATAATCCGTCTAATGCGGCGGAGTGGGCGATGGCGGAGATGATTAACGAGCCAAGAATCATGCAAAAAGCCGTGGAGGAGATTGATATGGTAGTTGGGAAAGACCGTCTTGTTCTTGAGTCAGACCTCCCGAATCTCAACTACGTGAAGGCTTGTGTGAAAGAGGCATTCCGGCTACACCCCGTGGCGCCGTTCAACCTCCCTCACATGTCCACGGCCGACGCTGTGGTGGACGGTTACTTCATCCCAAAAGGAAGCCACATGTTGATTAGTCGTATGGGGATCGGGAGAAACCCTAGCGTGTGGGACAAGCCGCTTAAGTTCGACCCTGAGAGATATTTGGGGAATAACATAGGCGTGGAGCTAGACGAGACAGAGCTCAATATAATATCTTTCAGTACGGGACGAAGAGGATGTATGGGTGCGAACATTGGGTGGCCCATGACGTGCGTGTTGCTTGCTCGGTTGATTCAAGGGTTCACATGGTCACCAGTGGCTGGTGAAAGTAAGATTGATATGTCGGAAAGCAATAATGACCTTTTTATGGCAAAACCCTTACACGCGGTTGCAAAACCTCGTTTAGCTCCACATGTTTATCCAACCTAATTGAAAGAATAAAGTATTAGTACTGTTAATTGCATGTAAAGGGAATGTTGAAATAGTCTCTTTTGAGAGAAAAAAGCTATTAGCAAGGTTAAGATATATCACTAACCATCTTTTTCTTCGTCTAATTGTCAGCCATATGCTTGGTTTGTAGAGAGTCTCTTTCTATTATTGGTGGGGCGTCTCTCTATTGTCGACTGTTTTTATCTTTTCCTTCTTCTATAATATTTTCGCTAATACTTTGTTTACTTTTGCTACTCTGTTAGTTTTCTTCTTTCAAATCTTTGACCTTAGATTTTTGATTACTTAAAACATCAATATTTTGTTGCTTTTTCTATACGTTTAGACTATTAAGAAAACACAATAAATTATTATAAAAATATAATGTAAAAATATTTACGCTGATCTTGATAATTAAATAAAATTCATTATAAGCCTCTAATTTTGTAACAATCTATGAATTTTGATGACTTCATTATTTTTTTTTTTTGATGATTTCAATAAAATATAGAAAGTGATAAGTAAAAAAATTTCAAAACTTTGCTATAGAGTTTTCTATAGTCTTATTGATTATTATTATTATTATTTTTATAATATTGTAAAGTTTTCCAAACAATTTTTATATTTTGCTAATATTTTTGAATAATTTATTTTGTGAAAAGTGTATAAAATCATAAACCAATAACATAATAAATGAGTTCAATTAACAATCCTAAATTCGTTTGTTTTAATTGAATAACATAAAATGTTGATTGACTTTGTCAATTATGAATCAAAGTACCTAAGATTTATGATTTTAACTGACTTTTTACAATTCACAATGTAATAACATTAGATTTTAACATAATGTAACAAAATCTTGACTGAATAACAACATATTCTACTTAATATTTAAAATTAACATAATTCTATTTAAATCATAAACTAATAACACTCCAAAATATAGAAGGATGTTCCTAATTAATTAAATATTGTAGATTCAGCACAATTAATACAAATTTTGATTTATTGCCTTCATGGGATTTCATTATTTATTATCATTTAGTGATTTTGTAACTTGGTGGATTCTTTTCAAAATTGTAAAAGAACAAAATTGACCGTAGATATGGAAAACATTGACAATAAATAAGAGGGATAAGTTGACTCCAACGTGGACATAAAGCTGACGTGGTAAACACGTGGTTTGCACGGAATCTTCTTAATTAAGAAGACGAGTGTCGCGTGTTACTCCGAGACCCCCACGTACCGAAACTACATTCCCACGTGCCTATCCATCTCTCACATATCATATGGACCGTCCGATCCGGTCTATTTGAGTCATTGTATTATAATCCTACGGTTCAGATCAAACTACACTCGATTTGCAATGCGTCTGTCTGGATTATAATAAACGCCGTTATTTCGTTAAAGGTCCTTTCATCATTGACATCGGTCCACTGTCCTACTAGGCAAATAATCCAATACGGGAGTTGTATTGTGCAACCATGCATGCGATAATTTAACCACCACTTAAAGAGTCTTAAACATAGGCCAACATAGACTTAACTACGGTGCACGCGGAACTTAACATGGGTTAAGATACACCCGATAATAGCTCGTCAAATAGTTTAAGCTTAAAGTGACATCAGCATGTTTTTTAAAACCTAGCGTTATATATAATGTCACCTTCTTACGTTAAAGTTCTTCCTTACATCGGACAGCCAGATATATTTCTCCGCCTCGATCCTCGCCCTTGGTTCATAACATTTTGTTGATATATAATTCGAATCTAACGAGGTTTTAATTGATCGGACGTGAAAATCTCATCACCGGAAAAAGATGGCGTATGCAAAAATCGGTTACGGCGGGAGTTATCTGGTGCAACGCGGCGTATTAGAGCATCCGTGTGGATCCGATCACAATGCGAGATCGCTGCTTTCTTCGTCGTTTCCTATCAATCTAGGTGGTAATCGGCGATCTAACGTCGGAACGATCTCGGCGTCGATAGCAGAGGCCGTGACTGAGATAGAGAAACAGAGAGGAGGAGAAAGAAGAAGCGGAGGGAGAAGCAGAGGAGGAGATCGTAGAGCGGTGGAGGCGGAGCGTGAGAAGTTAGACAGGTGGATGAAGGACTCGGTGACGGAGATCGTTAAGAATCTAAGCGAAGCGCCGTTGTTGGTTCATTTGTTCGCCGGAGATAAGGAGGAGGGAACGGTGGTTGTGATGAAAGCGGAGGAATGGGCGGCGGTGAAGGGAAGATGGGAGAGAGGAGAGGCGGAGATGCCGGAGGGAATAGTGTTCGTGGAGCAGTTAGGAGCGGCGGATGAGAGCTGTGGGTGTGGTTTCGACGGTGGAGACGGCACACGTGCGTGGGGGTTGGTGGTGCAAGGGAAAGGAGTCGAGTGTGGGCCGGTTTGTTATCTGCTGAAGACGACACGGGTCGGGTCAGGGTCAGGATCCGGGTCGGGTATGGGGATGAGGTGTACGCATTTCTGCCTAGCAAAGGTGTCGAGTTTTAGGGAGACTAGTGAATCTCAGCTTAGGAATTGTTGGCTTGTGGGAAATTGATAATTCAAAGCCTTTTGGGATTTTATATCATGTACATAAATATATTTGACCAATTTGGGTATCATATCATATTATGATAATTACTATTACCAACATAATTAAGTAAATAAATTAAATAGAGGTTGAATAACACAAATTATAGTAGTTTTTAATGTATTGCAGATTTACAATAAATGTAAAAGTGATTTTGTCAGATACATAATTGAATTAACACAAGATTTCATAGTAATTTTAAGGTTTAAGTCGTTTGGTTTTGTAAAAAAAAAAAAGCTAAAAAGGCCTTGACGAATGTGGTAATGAGCTCACAAAAATACAAAAAGATTCTGAATTTTGAAAAGCCCAAAGTCACTATTCCCTCCAAATCGCGTTTAAGTGTTGTTTGAATTTGAAAAACCAGAAAGATCCCCCAAAGGAAAAGAAAAAAAAAAATTAAGAAAACGCAAAAAAAAAAATGGTTTGTTGTCAGAAATTATTAAACTAGGCACACATCGCGCGCTCTTCTTCTTTTACCTCTTTCTTCTTCTTGTTGAGAGAGAGAGAGAGAGAGAGAGCCCTCATCTCAAATTCTAGGGTCTCTAAATCCCAACATTCAGATCTTTACTAATTGACCATCAGATCTTAAACCCTAGACTCTATCACTCTAACCCTCGATCTCCTCTTTTTGGGTATTGCTCCCTTCGAGGAATCGGAGGATATCTGTAATCACCATTTTCTGGGAGTTTCTCCAATTTATCGAAATTTTGTGGCTTTAATTTTTTTGAGGAATCTTCGAGGGTATCATCTCTGGGTTTTGCTTTTAATTGAGCCGCCATGGAAGAACACGGCGTTATATCTGGAGGGTTTACTCCGATTCCCAGATCCGACTTAAAGGTAACTTCGTCTCTTGTTTTGGTTTATGTTGAACTGATCTCGTTCGTTTGCTCTGACAGACTCTGCTTTTTAATTTCTACGATCTAATTTATACATTGCTTTAACTTTTTTTCCTTCTCGATTTCTGGGATTTTAGATCGGAGGCGGAGGCGATGAATTGGATGAAAGAGAGGAGTTGAATAAAATTCAACCTGTTACACCGACTCTAAATTCAGGTAATTTACTGTTTCTAGTTGAGCCAAAAATTCATTCATTTGTTCATCGTTTTATAATATGGTTTCTATTGAGTTTAAAGTTTAGTAAAGGCATAGTGGCATACAATAGAACCTAAACTCTGATATATATATATACATAAGTCCTCGAAATGTAATTTGAACATCCCTTGCTACAGGTATCACTGGTCATGCTTCTAAAGACATTGAAATAGCCAATGAAATGTCTCACGTTGGTGAAGTTTCAGAGGGCGTTGTTAAAGAAGGGAATAATAATAAGACTCAACTGGTGAGTCAAGAGGTCAAGCTTTCTTCCAGTAAGCTTGGTCTCAACACAGATGCTGACTGTGATAAGCGAGCTTTGCTTAAGAGATGTGATACTGCGGATGCCGTTTCCACCTGCTTGAGTGACGACTTATCATCGGTTTCCTCTTCCAGGAGACACAATACTAAATCTAGTTCGATGGATGTTTATTCAGAGTGTGGGAGTTCCAATGTTCCTGTTGGGGAAAGTGATCCAATGAAGGTCTGGAAAGAAATGAAACAGAACGGGTTTCTCTCTAATCCAAACGGTGGGATTTCAACTACATCAAGCAGCTGTCTTGTCTCATCTTCTCATGGAGGGATCCCGGCTCCAAGGAAACGTGGACGCAAGAGCAAGAATAATAATGACGCTGCAATGCTGAAGAAGAGAAAGATCGAGATTGCAAGGAAGGAGGAAGTTGACAGGTTTGCCAGGCTAGCTGCTCCTAGTGGACTCCTTAATGAATTGAACCCTGGCATTATCAATCATGTGAGAAACAAAAAGCAAGTACTTTCCATTATTGAAAACATTGTCAAGTCTGAAAGAGATGCTGGAAACTTCTATCATTCTACAATGAGGCATAGTAATAGTGCAGTTGGGAGTTCTAGGAAGAACTTGGAAGATGTGAACACTGATACCTCAAGATTTGATTTTAACCAAGGATTCAAGTATGGCATGCCAAAAGATAAGTACTCTATGCGCTACTACGATAAGAAATGTGCACATGATGAGTTCAGTGAAGAAAACAATACAGCTGGGTCGAGGTTTCTGGTGGCAGGTAAGTTCTCAGAAAATGCCAGTTCCTTGTCGAGCCAGGACGCATCAGATCTTAACAGTGCTAGTGTTCTCACTGTTAACGGTATGTTATTTACTCAATACCCAGTTGGCGTGACTTAATACCATTGATATGTGGCTTAGATGAATTTCTTCTTTGATTTGCAGCGGCTACAGTAGCTTCTCAATGGCTGGAATTGCTTCATCAGGACCTCAAAGGCCGTGTTTCTGGTAAACAAAACTCATATTTGATCGTTGATGCTATGAAAACTTCAGTACTTGGCTGTTCTTTAAATCCCCATTTTTGTTCTTTTCAGCTCTTCGGCGTAGCAAGAAGAGAGTTCGTGCAGTTGTTACGACAGAACTACCTTTCTTAATAATGAAAGAGTTCCCATCTGATCAAGAGAATGACCCAACTTTACTCCTCGATGGGGCTTCAAGGGCTTCAACAGTCGATATCCACAAGAACAGATGGTTAACTCTGTTTAACCAACTAGAACACAAGCTATCAGAAGAAGAGTCACAATTGGTAATATAGTTAAGATATCTTCACCACACATCTAACTTTTTATTGGCATCTGATATGGAGTTTGTGAACTCTGAAAATTCAGGAAAGCTGGTTAAACCAAGTGAGAAATCTGCAATCACATTGTGACCAAGGTCTGCAACACTTGAGTTTGAGTTCTGGTCAGAATTTCTTACAGTTAGGGATGCCATTGGACTCTAGGTATGGCCATTTTACTACCTTTTCATCTCATTACCAGTTGAATATGTTTCCCCAATTCGAATTTTTTAGTTTCCTTCTGTCTAAATTGTGTTGCAGAGCTGCAAACTCGCTGATCTCAGATAAGGATTTATTCATTAAAGCAGCTGCAGCATCTATATTCTCGACCTGCAATTTTCTAGAGGAGAACATCGCCTGTACCTGAACACCTTTAAACTTCTGACCAGTATCTGATTTAATCATTTTAGTTGAAAACTTTTCTTAGTTACTTTAGTGTAAACTTTCATAGCAGAGTTTACTTTAGTGTAAACTTTCATAGCAGAGGTTTTCTCTGTAACGTGCATCTGTAACATTAGGAGCAATGCTCATCAGTCTTTTCTTTTCCTTTTTCCTTTTATAGATTCATTTTTCCGGCCATTTTGCTTTACAGTAAGAACCTTAGTATGCTTAATTCGTTAAGATCTGAAAGTTACGAATATCTCTTGTATTAAACAAGGAAGTGATTTTGAGAACAAAATAACTATGTATTGTATTATTATCCAAATATGTTCGGGCTATTCAAAGTTTGGATCTTTCCCTAAGCCTAATTTCCTCAAACCTCACATGGAGTAACTACTACAATTTACATTATGTAACAGTGATCTGGATCTGTAATAAGTTTTTGAGAACCAAGGAGCAGAAATTGGTGTCATTATGTTGTAAACAAGGCTGATTTGTTTAGAGCCAGTTGGAAACCATCTTGTTTGGTGTTGCTTTGGCTGATGGATCTTCTGGAGCTTTAGCCAATGAACGATACTGAAGCTTCACACTCTCTGCGTTGTCCAGCGTTTTCACTACATACCTGCAATAGAGTTTATGTAGCAAATGAACTCCAAGTCATGGAAACATTTATACAAAGGTTGGTATATAGCATTTTGCTCAAGGGTTGCAAAGGTGATGGATGTCTTTATCGGAATGTAGGAAAGTTGCAGGAGAAAGAATCTAATCTTTGTGATATGTATACAAATCAAGTCATAATCAAATAAAGAAATTACACTTTACCAGCCGTTTAAGCATTGAGTTGTCACAACAGCTTCACGGCCAACAAAACGAGGTGGTGTCCTCTTATTCCCCTGATTCATGTTTTACTCTAACGGTTAATAACTCACGCACTCTTCCATTATAAGAAAACACCCACGATAGAAGAATAATGCAGGGAAAAACAGAAGGGACTGACCTTAATTATAACTCGATCTGCCACAGCAAATGGGAAATGATTACTTTTGTTCCTTGAACGACTTGAATGATTCGTGACACCAAATGTGCGTCTCTCCTGTGTTATGGAAAAGAAACCTCTTGTTTGAAACAGAAATAAAATGTGAGAAGTCATAATGATAAGAAGTATTGAATTACTTGATCAAATCCTTCTCGTTTTCTCTTAGATGAATGATTTGACTGTGAATTCTCTTCTCGGCAGAATGCTTGTACAGCAACTCGTAAAGCTGCGAAAATTCCAGCAAAAATAGTTAGAAGAATTTGCTAAGACAGCCAAATACCAAATCGTGAAACAAGTGATTTACTCACTAAGATTTGGGGTTATCGAGTCATCAGAGACAGGCTGCGAACATGTATAGCAAGCTTTCTAGGAGAACAGGACACAGAAAATAGAATTCATAAGCAAAAATTAAAAGACATAAAGCAAACAGCAGAGAGCAAAAGAAGAGCTTGTGATGGAAGAAAGAAAACTATGTACCATCTGTTTAACTTGTTCTATTCCTCCAGCTCCAAAAGTGTGTCCGCAAGGCAAAATCATAGCATCAGCCATCAAAGCCCCTCTACAGTTTGAGCGAATAAAATTATATTTAACCCAAAATAGACCACAAATTACAAACAAGCACGAGCGATACCAATCCAATGGTTTCCAACTTTAAAAGTATCAAAGCTCACCCTAACTTCTTGGCGAGGTAACACTAAAAGTTATCTATAACTCGAAAACCTTATATATGAAAACTATCAGAAAGATCACTACACCAAGCTTCAGAAAGTGCTACATCTTCGTTTCCATTATTGGAGATTTCAAGAGTTACGAACTGAATAATATGATCACAATACCAACTATATATATATATATATATATATATAAAAGAACATACGTTGTAGGATCAGACAAAATGGTCCTCAAAGACTCGATTGAATTGGTGGAAGAAGAAGAAGGGTCTCTTCTGCCGCTGAAATCACACCCATTTTCCACAGCAACTGATGACTCCTCATTCCTAGAAGCAAAAGCTGGTTCCATTGTCTTAAAATGCTGCGAGTAGTACGCTGCGTTATCTTGTCCAACCACTATCACTGCATTACCATTTTAGTCCACTGCCTCAATAATCTCAAAAGTAGAAACTTTTCAAACTAGAAAGACAACAAAAAAAACATAACTTTCGCACTAAAAAGAACTTGTCAGAGTCTCCTACCAGCTCCTGCTGATACAGAATCTTCACCAGCGTCTTTATTCAAGCCGACGTCGCCTTCGTTACCGTCTATGTCATCATCATCGTCTTCTTCTTCAACGTCAACTTCATCCTCGCCGTCGTCCGATCCACCACTGTCGTTAGGGTTTCCGCTAATGGGTTTCTCCGAGTAGAAATTTTGACGGAACTCGAGATGAGGGTGAGGATTAGCTGCGGCGGCTGCTGCTGCTGCCGCCGCGAAATACCGGTGGTGGTCGCCGATAAAAGCAGCGAATTCACGGGTTTTAGGGTCTTGCTCACCGACCCGGAAACGTAACGGGTCAGCATCTTGGACAATCATCGGCGGAGCATTGAACGACGCCGGAGAAAGCCCTTTTCCGGACATGGAATCGAACGATCAAAAAGTTATTAAAAACCCTAAAATTAAGCTAAATTCTATTAGATAGTATGAAGGTTGAATCAGGGTTTGGTTTTAGATTCGTGAAACAAAGAAGGAACTTTAAGGAAGAGAGATGAGTGATGAAGGAAAAAATTTCTCAGCGATCAAATGAAGGAAGAGAAAGAAGAAGTGAGATGCTAAAACGACGACGTTAACATAGAGAAGATACGTGAAATCAAACGGTGTCGTTTCAACCGCAACAAACGTCAGGCTCAGATTCTATAGTATAGGGCCCATGGATCCAAAAGAAAGTGTGCGGAACTTCTTTTAGATTTTTGGATAATAAAGAAAAAAGTCAACTACTAGATTCTTTACTGTCTTTTTTTTTTTGTGTCCGAATATATTTTTACCGGTCTTTTTTTGTGTCGGAAATTTTGTTTACCCTTAATAGAAATTTAGAAGAGAAATACCCTATACACAGCTGCTTTAGTTAACTCTAATATAGAGATATCATCATATACCTATGGATTAAAGTGGAACAGCCAAGAGACTTATGAGTTCTGTGACACCACTACACACATTAACGCTATTGGAACTTGTTCTGTTCTTGACAAACAGTGTCTAGATTTGTCAGGATTAATATGTCATTTTCTTTGGTGTATCCCTATATCAAATATTGATTAAGTAAGTCTTATAACCAGGCTGCTATAGTGGTGTTAGTTCAAACGGATAGTTGTTTTTTAGAATTTTCTGTAAATGACTGCAGCTTTAGCTCTGTTTTTGTTCTAAAAATGTTTTTGTGTTAATCATGTTCCATTATTAAGATCGTGTTACAGTGAGAGGATCCTTGTAAAAAAGAAGAAGAGTAGAGGTACAACCGTACAAGGAATTAGACACTAAATGAGATCATTACAAACTAAATACAGTTTTTTATGTTTATTTATTCTGGAGACTGATCTCTCTGTTCTTTGATGTTCTTAAAGATCTTTGAACTCTTGTCAAAAATCTTTGCTCTTCTGTTATAATCTTTAGGGTCCCTCCCATCATCAGCCCCCATGATAGCTTCCTTCTCAAGGTACTCCAGAGGAGACTGATCTCTCTGTTCTTTAGAGTTCTTGAAGATTTTAGAACTCTTGTCGAAAATCTTTGCTCTTCTGTTGTAATCTGTAGGGTCTCTCCCATCATCTTCCCCCATGATAGCTTCTTTCTCGAGGCATTCCAAAAGCTCCCATACTCCTCTGTTTGCTTCTCCGCCACATATCCCTCTTATTTGAGTCAGCTCCTCCTCTTCCTCCGGCGTAATTGGCTCCATTGCCGCCGCATAACCGGACCCTGAAGCCACACATCTAGCTGTAGAAAACCGCATCTCCTTCTTGGCTTTAAGGCTCAGCTTGGTCTGTGAGATTGCCGAAGCCGAAGCCGAAGCTAGCGTTTTATGAGTTCTCGGATATGGGATGATCTTTGTGCAGGTTTGAGAGATAGCTTCCATCGTTTTGTCTGGTGGTGTTTTATGTTGTAAAGGTTAGGTCTCTTGTTGGTTTTATATATATAAGGTTCGGGTAATGTGACGCATTAACAGACGCCATCATAACACGTGTGTGAGTGGCGATGAGTAAGAGAGTTTTCGAGATTCTCGTGGCTTGTTCTTGTGGCATGTGTCTCGAGATTCTTTTGCCGACCTACTTTGACTCTCTCTTTTCGGCTTTATCCAAGCTCTTTGTTTAGTAAGCTTTACTGTTCAAAATTCAGACACGTTTGTTTTAGTTCTAGAACTTCGTTCGACCTAAAAATGACCCTTTTTAACTATGAATCAGACCGAAAACCTTATCCAAATCTATTCAGTTCGACTCGGTTAAGATTGATTTCTCATAAATGCTGAATTCAGCTCAGAACCAAATCCAAATGACCACAACTAACATTATCTTGAATGCATTTAGCCTGCTCTAGTTTCTGACTTTCTGTAACAAGTTGTATGGAACCTGCAAATTCTATTAGATAGTTTCAAAACTTGATAAGAGCATCTACTGTAAGGAACAACACATTGAGTAGCAAATGGAAAATCTGATAAGTCTACAAACTGCAAAACAAAACGAACTAAAAGATAATAGATATTGCTAGGGACTTGACTAGATGAAAATTCCCAAAATGACAAAAGATGTTGTTCTATCTCAGATGTGCAAACCCTCTTCACAGCCTTTGTGAGGATCACATCTTTTAACTGTTGGAACACAAAAGGCGTATGGAAGATTTGAATTTTAGTTTCCACCTTCATTGATAAACCCTTCTTTGCGGCCTTCAAAGCCAGGACGCAGGAGCTTTTTCTCTCTCTTGGCGATTTTCCGCATCTTGTTCTGTTCAATCCTATCCGCAATATTCCCTGATCTCTTTTGCTGCTTCTCCACCTTGAACTTTTGTTGCCCTTCAACTCTTTCTTTCCACTTCTCTGCGTTCTTCTCGTGTCTCTTCTTTTCTTTGTGGATGCTTTGCTTCAATAGCTTCGGGTCGTCATGGACCTTGATACCTGCTGCTCTGCTTGTAGCTGCCTTCCAAGAGTGCTTCTTTGCAATTACATCACCTTTTTCTGGATCCTTCTTCGCAGCCTCTAACTTCATAGCCCTTTCAAGTTCTTTTGCTTTTGAAAGCCTCCGTTTCTTTTTCTCTTTTCCGTGTTCTTCATCATCATCAATCTTGACATAACCGAATGTAAGGTCCTTAGCAGCCTCTTCCACATCCAACTTGCCCTTACCTTTATCTGCTGACTTATTATCCTCCACAGTCTTCTCCTCAGAAACTGTGTCCCTCTTTCTCTTATTTGGCAGAATCTTCTTCCTTTTTTCATGGCTTCTTGGTCTATCTGAACCTCCACGACCACCTTTGAGCTCATCAATTTTGCGATGCAGGCGTAGCCTCAGCTCCTCATACGTAACAGATTTATCATCCTTTTGTTCATTGTTATCTCTTTCCTCCTCACTGTCATCATCAGGAAGCTCGATACCTGCTTTTTTCATCTCATACCTCTGCCTTCGTAAATCCGCTTTTTCCTTCTTTAGCTTTTGCTTTAATGAAATCCTTTTTTCATCCTCTATCTTTCGCTTCAGCAGATCGAGAGTCGTCAAAGCAGACTTGTCTGGGTCCAACCTATCTCTCCTCGCCTTCTTTAGGTTCTCGTTTGTTTTTCTCTTCGCTTTAGCTTTTTGAGCCTTGCTAAGACCTGGAAACCATTTCCTTTCTGTCTCATCAGGTACGTAGAATCTTGCAGGGATGAGCTCTATTATCTTATCGAAAAATTCAGCATGTTCATGAGTCTTGAAATCTGATTCACAATCAAGATTATCCTTTTTCTTTGCCATCTATAACAATTGCCAAAATCAATCAAAATCAGGAAAATAAAATGCCCTTTTGGAAAAATGACAATAAGAAACTCGTCATTAACAAGTAAAGTTTAGAAGCTATAATTCCTACATCAAAACAGTGGAATCAAGACTGAAAATGGCAGATAAACTAACTACATATTAACTGATAAAGTTACAGTGGCATATTACTCGGATATTCAACAGTTACTGGGTGGGGATCAAAACTTACATCAGTCCCACGAGTATTGGTCATTGCTCTCCACAGAGGAGATTAGCCAAAAAAGTCGCAAATCTCAAGACAAGCTGCAGAGATAACATAGTAGATATTAATCATTGCGAGAGAATACAAACATTACAATAAGTATACTTCTGATATACATCATAGATAACATGCATCATAACTAAATTAGTACAAATACATATCAAAAGACGCTCACAAAGTATATAACAGTTGGATTTATCATCATCCAGGAATTTACCATTTGTTCTAACAACAACATCAAAAGGGAATTTATAAATGTAATTTATGAACCTACAAATCAACATGAAAACTTTCAACAAGATGTCTTTGTTGACACCATATACCAATAAAACCAATTCACAAGTCAAACTAAAGGAAACAAATGATTTTTGAGCAACTAGGCTCATGAACTATTCCATAGAGAAGCAGAAACCCTAAAAACTAATCAAAGAGCAAGTACTCCCACATAACATCAGCTCTGTACAAGTTATAAACTAATGCAGGATGAACAAAGAGAAGAAGAAGCACATAAAAACAAGTACAAGAGTATAAGAAACAACCCTTATCCTAAAAAGACTATAGAAGAAAGTGTACATCCGAAAGACGGAGATGTTAATGTAGAAACAGCTACAAGTTCAAGTTTCATAAGCATATATCAATTAAGGATTCATCATAACTCGTAATTTTAGTCTTGAACAATTCTGACTCCAGAAGAGCTAGACACCTTGATAAACGATAAGAACAAACCCATACGGAAAGGATAAGAATTTACGGAAGAAACAAAGATAAAAGAAGAGAAAAATCACCAGTAGCGACGATGGCGAATCAACGGCGTTGAGAGAAGGTTGAGAGAGAGAGACGAAGACGGTTCGGTGAAGAGCAGAGGTTAGGGTTGAATGGCTTTGTTATTTCCCAAATTTTATAAGGGTGATTATGTAACTTCCAAATTCTAGCGCCCTAACAACGGTTCGGTTTAACGGGGATTCAATTGAAATAAGGTAAACCGGAGATTCAAATCGAACCGAGAAGGTACGCACGAATATGTTGTGAGAAGGAAACTACCTCTTACACGCGTCCACGTGGATTATTCCTCTTCACTCCCCTCTTTTATCAGCTGTTTGTTTCGGTGTTTAAAACGTATTTGAAACGGTATCGTTTGCTTGAGTGTAAAAGCTTCATCGGAGTTTCTTGTCTGTAGCTTTATTCTCCGGCGAGCGATGGCGGTTTCAGCTTTCCGTGGGACGCGGTTACCGTTACTTCACCATTCTCAGGTATACTTGTGTTTTTTTTTTTCTCTATTTCCTCAGTGATTCTGTTTACTTTATCTGCTCTAAAAGGCTTAGCTACCAAAATTGGCAAACTTCATTACTCTCTGCTGAAAATATTGATAGCTTCATTTTGTAGTTTCCCGTAGTGAGAACTGTCTCAGAAAGGTCTAAGAAGGCGATCGGAGGTAGGAATTTGAAGGGTTTTGTCCTTTCGGCCCAGTATTCGCAAAGCCAGGACCTTTTCACTTCTCGCCTTCAAAGTATGATAATTTCATGGTTTCTGTAAAACTTAATCTTACTGTATACTATTTTGATATCACGTTAGGTTTTTTTTTTTCTAATTGGGTTTTGTTCACTGATGTCTGGAATTTTCTTTCAAATCTACACAGTGGAATCACTTTGACTTTTGTGAAGACAATTGATACATGTGCTTGTTGGCATGGCTTTTGATGCAGGCCAGATAGAGAAGTTACCTAAACTGGTGGAGGATATAGTTCAGACATCAATAAACACAGGTCCACGCGGTGTGACACGCCTTGTCCAAGGCGTTCAAGCCTTTGTAGGGGTTGGAGGAGAGTGGCTAAATGATTTATCTAAGGTGACTGTTGCTCGTATATATATGCTCCTAGTAATAAGTTCATAAATTTTGTATGAGTAAGACACTTTACAATTCCTGTCAGCTAAATTTTTGGGTTTCCTTTTTTTTTTTTCCTGCTGGTTTCAAACTATTATCTGATTGTAAATCACTTTCTCGCGTGCTGCAGTCTACAAGCGTGCCTGGTGGATTACCAAGTGAATTGCAGCTTGGTCTACTGTCTCCTCTATATTTGAGGAAACTATTTGAACGCATGGGAGCTACTTATATTAAGCTGGGCCAGGTAAATCATGTTGCTATATGTAGAGGCGTAGAGCATATTGTTCCTATGATGATGCATGTATGTAGTTAGAAACATGTGAAGTGTATGTCTAAAGTAAGCTAAGTTATCAGATTGTTCTTTCTCAGTTTATTTCCCATTCTATTCCATTTAACAATACATAGTAATATATCTTTTGATTTTGTAGTTTATAGCATCTGCGCCAACTTTGTTCCCACCTGAATATGTCAAAGAATTTCAGAACTGCTTTGACAAAGCTCCTCCTGTGCCATTTGAAGAAATTCGTAAAATCTTGCAAGAGGAACTTGGTAAACCCATAGACAGTGTATACGAATATGTTGACCCTACGCCAATTGCATCAGCCTCAATAGCACAAGTATGTTCTTCTGCTTCTGCTTCTGTGATCAAAATTCATTTTGTTCATGTACTATTTTTCTGCTTAAGGGAATCATCATGACCAGGTACATGGTGCAAGGCTTAGAGGTTCCCAAGAGGATGTAGTTATTAAAGTCTTAAAGCCTGGAATAGAAGATTTCTTAGTGGCAGATTTGAACTTTATCTACGTTGTTTCCCGTATATTTGAGTTCCTTAGTCCTGAGTTTAGCCGTACTTCACTGGTAAACACCTCTGTACTTAATTTGCATTTGCTGCTAAGCTACCTCTAAATAATATACCCTATTGATAGGTTGGTATTGTCAAAGATATTCGTGAGTCTATGCTTGAGGAAGTAGATTTCAATAAGGAAGCTCAAAACATTGAGTCATTTAAGAGATATCTTGAAAGCATGGGGTTGACAGGGCAAGCTACGGCTCCTAGAGTGTATAAGTACTGCAGCAGCCGGCGGGTACTTACAATGGAGAGGCTATATGGAGTTCCTCTGACTGATCTAGATTCCATAAGATCACTTGTTTCGAGTCCTGAAAACAGCCTTATTACCGCGCTTAATGTGTGGTATGATCTTTGAATTTCAATATTGACATTAAGATTGTTCCTCCTATAAATGTAGCTGTTAGTAAAATTTATCTTCATGTGATGTAACCTGCAGGTTTGGAAGTTTGCTTGCTTGTGAAAGCTTCCATGCTGATGTACATGCAGGAAACTTATGGCTGTTGCGTGATGGCCGGATTGGGTTTCTTGATTTTGGTAAATCTTACTCTCTCAAACCTAATTAGTGCAACGTTTCTTGCATGTGATTATTCAATTACTCGGAGCACCCCTACTACCTCTGATTAATCTATTAATGCACGAAAATGCAGTCTTTTTCCACAAATCCTCTTCCCCATCTATATTGGTAATTTTTGGTGTATTCAAGTAAGTATCCACTTTTTGGTTTCAGGCATTGTTGGTCGTATATCCCCCAAAACATGGGCTGCCATGGAAGTATTTTTAGCATCTATTGCATCTGAAGAATATGAATCCATGGCTTCTGCTTTGATTCAAATGGGCGCCACAAACAGAGATGTTGATGCCAATGCTTTTGCAAGAGATTTAGAAAAGATGTTCTCATCTATCCAGGCAAGTAAATTTAGTCTTTATGGGCTAACTCTCTGTTATCAGCTGCATCTGTTCAGAGGAACCAGCGTGATTTGCTTTCAGTATTCTAATGCACAACAAATACAAGATCTTCCGTTAATCTTATGGAGACAAGTGAATCTCTTCTTGCAGGAACTAGATACAGAAATAGTAGTGGCTACAGCACGTGGAACAAATTCGGACACAACTGCTGTTGCTGCTAACGTAATTATGGATGAGAGACAGATGAATACACTTTTCCTCGACCTGGTAAGCACTAATTAGATGTAACTTTAAGGATTTTTTTTTGGGTTTAAAAGTTACACTAATCTAAGTTAAGATAACCCCCAGTCTTAGCTTCAAGGAGTGCATACAAATAAACAGAGTTTTTCTTCCTCTTGTAGGTCCGTGTTAGCGAATCATATGGCCTTAAGTTCCCAAGAGAGTTTGCACTTCTATTGAAGCAGCTTCTGTATTTCGATCGATACACGAGACTTTTAGCCCCAAACCTGAACATGCTGCAAGATCAACGTATCTCTATTGCATCCAACAAGCGGATGAATCGATACAAGGACAGCTTCAACTGAATTTAGACAGATATACTTCGTTAAACCTATTCAAACTTACTTTTTATTTATTTTACTAGTGGTAAAGTTATAGTAGATTGATTAAGTGAGGAATGATGATAAATTCAATCTTGTTACAAACATATCATAAGATTCATGACTATATACAATAGATGAGCAATATCTGCTTCTTCTTTTTTGTATAATTTTGCACAAGTGTAGTTTCTACTTTAAACAAAAGTGCAGAAACAAATCTTTTAACCTATACACAGATTTGAAAAAAAGAATGATAAGCCAATGGCAAAACTCTCTATCTCAGAAGCACATAGTTCTCGTTGCTTCATCAGAAGCAGAGATCTATGCAGAAGGAGGACGCTGTGAAGCTTTAAAGACTTGGCTTACAGTAGAATATCCCATTAGTCGGTGAAGCGGAGAGCCTCTAGCCGCAGGTAGCTCCTCATCCTGAACAGAGGAGCTCAACTTTTCATGCTGGGAGGGAGCTTTGTCTCTGGAAGAATCTGATATTGAATTGCTATTTCTACGAACATTTATGTCATGTGGTACGGCAGGAATTAAATGAGTTCCCGATTGAAGTGAGAATCTGAGAACAGTGGTGCAAGTGCCGCATCTGAGAAGATGATGCTTTCTCTTGAAGACGAGAAAGTCTACAGGAAGCTGCAGGTGTTCTGAGCACCTGTAACAGCTGACGAAAGGTGCCCCACCGGCTGTTGGACGAACATGACGTTTGGCCACCCGTTGTCTCTCTTTAAGACGACGGGTCTGTAACTCATGGTGGTGAACAGCATGTCTGTTACGCTGATGATCCTCCATATCTGAGACTATCTCGTGGCTCCATCTCGGTTGATACTCAGATTGTTCCATCAGTCTCTGTGGACTTGCAGAATATGAACTGTAAGAATTATGAACCTGACCTGATTTCCAACCGCCATGGTTTCTTCTGTCCATCTCTCCTGAGATCCTACCCCCTTGGCCCAGACCTCTTTCCCTTGGGTTGTTGTGATACATATAGTCTACAAATTCGTGGTTCATTCCTCCAGCGTAGGGAGGCATTTGAAGCGAGTGTGCACGGGAATAGCGATCAAACTCATCATGTGATGGATATGAAGGGCTTACACGTGTGTATGGTTCTCTCGGATAGAAAGGCGCGTCAGGCCGAAGTTGTTCTGTCACATATCTCCTCCCTTGTCTACCAAGACGCCCTCCTGGTCCCTCTAGTTGCAGAGACCTGTTCTGATGCCGTTCGTTGTATGTGCTTATCCCATTGCGCCTATTCTCAAAGAAAGTGGAGGAAGAACTAGCGCCTTCCTCCTTATAATTCCCAGAATATCTAGGCATCTCAAATTTGTCTGATCTTAGTTTCTGAAGAGCATACCACTGTTCAGGTTCATCGAGAAGTTCATCTTCCCTTTCGTCAGACGAAGACTCACTCCCATCATAAGCAGAAGAAGTCTTGTTTGCAGAATAATCAAGTCGGCTTTGCTTCTCTTCGACAGGGGAAGTATCAGGTGAGATCTCAGCATTACCAGATGAATTACTTGCTCTTGCAGCCACCGCATCATAAGCAGAAGAAGTCTTGTTAACAGGATAATCAAGTTGGGTTTGCTTCTCTCCAACAGGGGAAGCCTCTGGTGAGATCTCAGCATTATTAGATGAATTACTTGTTCTTGCAGGTACCGTATCATACGCAGAAGGAGTCTTGTTTGCGGGAAAATCAAGTGGGCTTTGCTTCTCTTCAACAGGGGAGGCATCAGGTGAGATTTCAGCATTATCAGATGAATTGCTCGCTCTTGTAGCCTCTACATGATCAACACTGAAGCATCCAGAGCTACTAGCCCCAGATCCTGCAGCTTTTGACATGGTGTTCATCACATCAGAATTCAATCTGTAGTTGTCTTCTCCTTCATCCTTCTCAGATAATGAAGGTTCCTGCCGTTGAATTTCATTTGTTTCATTCCCATTGGATAAGTCTAAGCCACCAAGGTCCTTCTCCGTCGACTCCATGGGTGAATTCCTACTCTTCTCATACTCTTGGCTCGAGGAACGCTTAGAGGATGCCGGAAGAACCGCGTCCTGCCCCGAGCTGCTGGACACATTGTCAGGCTCGCTTGGCGGCTCATTGGTTTGAGCCCTGTCTGTCTCTACCGCACTTGGTGCACTAATTGGAGCAATGTTCCGCCTTTTCGCTGAAGCAAAGAAGCAACAAACAAGTTAAATAAATGAAAGAAAGATCATGCCATAAACACACAGTTGGTTTGATGATATCAGACAAAGCAAAGATTAAACTGAGAAAGCCAAACAGATGAACAAACCAGGAACAAAACAAAGCCAGATTCGGAACCAGAGTTAACATTTCAATAATTAGAGGCAAAACAGGAAAATGGCAAGTTAGGAAAAAAAAAGGCAAAGACCTTGAAGAATGGCGGAGCAACCACCACACTGATAAACAGGAACATCTTCGTCTTCCTGAAGAATCTTTAAGCACTTGGGACACTTCACCAACCTGATTTTCTTACCCGTCTGGCTCGCCATTGCTTATACCAAAACTCGATGACTTAATTCTCTGACTTGCTAATCAGAGAGAGTCCTCATCAACAGAACCCAGAACCCCTCAATAAACACAGAGACAGAGAGAGAGAGAGAGGAGAACCAAAAGAAAAGAATGAAACTTTGTGAGGTTGTTCAAGTTTCTAAGAGAAAATAGGAGGAGGGGAGACCAGAGGAAGAAGGTCAACGCGGTCTGACTTTTGAAAACTTGGGTTGAAGAGGAGAAAGGATTGGGAAGAACCACGGGCCTGAGAGCTGGTTACGGATCCGGGTCGGAATGAAGAAAAAAAAATATAGAATGGCGAGAAGAAGGAAAGATTACATGATTGAAGAAGCCATATATGAGATTGTAAGATCTCTACACAGAAGTAGAAGTAAAACTCTTTTTGCAGAGACTTATAACCAGAGAGAGAGAGAGAGAGAAAGAGATTGTGAAAGAAGGAAACCCAGAAGTTTAAAGATTATATAGAGAGAGAGAAGAAAACTTCTTGTCGTGGGGGCGAAGTAGAAGAAGAAGAAGAAGAAGAAGAAGATGAATTTTGAGAGAACAGAGACAAAACAAAAGTTAAATAAAAACCAAAATCGTTGGACGGACACTTTATTTATTTTATTTTAGTTTAACTTTGGTCTCACTTTCCTATAATTTCCTCTCAGAAAAGTCTCTATTTTTCCGTGTCTATAAAGTTTTTGTCATTTTAATATATTTTTGAGGAATTTTTTTGATATCTTTTTTTTATGTCCCGGTAACTTTTGTAAGTCAATTAGACACACACAAAACAAAACAAAAAGACACCAATGACTCATTCTCTGATTACATTTTTTCTCTTAAACAAAACCCATTTGTTTGATAATTCCAAAATATTGGCCTAAATATTATTGGAAAGCAATTTGCAACAGAGCTCTGTTTAAAAATAGAAGAAGATAAACACTAAACTGGTTCACTTAATTTTGAAAAAAAAAAACAAAACAAAAAGAAACCGGATAAGAGTTATAACAATGGAATGGCGTTATTATTATTAATGTCGGCGCCTGTTTCATTTATTTTGGATAGAGAAATGTTTTTAACCCCCAGCTTCCTTCTTCTTCTTCTTCTTTCTACTACATCTACATCTACATTCATTACTTCATCCCATTACTTTTACCATTGCCGATTCTTAAATATTTTCTGACAGTTGAAGCACCCTTTTGTAAAAGAAATATAGTTCTATTGATGTTTTGGATATTTTTTTAGTTTTAAGGTTCCTAAGGATCTGACGAAAAAGAACATAATGATTTCGTCCTTTTATACATCACTGGTCCAATTTTAACTGACATTTTTTTCAAAATCTTTTTTAATTTTTGTAATGAGAACTCACTAGCAAGTAGCAAGCCGTGAGTGTTTCAATCACTTTTCATTCTAACCATACAATTTGAGTCTTTGCTTCATAACCTTTTTATAGGTACGAAAATGAAACCAAATCTTCCAGCTATACAAAGAAACTCGAAATCAATGGCAGTGTAACACAAGAACAGTCTTTAAAAGATGGTACACTCATCTCCAGACTCCAGCTGATGTTACTATCAAGCTATAGACGTTTGATTAATAAATGAACTAAAGTACTCGCTAGATTAGTAGTATGTAGTATTAACATTCAACTTATATTATTACATTGATTTTTAGTTAACATTCATTGTATATTATGCTCTCTACCAAAATATGAAAAATAACTAACGTAATGACTCGGTCTTTTATCGTTTTGTGCTGTCTAAAGTTTTTTTTTTTCTTTTCTAAATTGGATGTGTGCTTCTGAAAAAGTCAACCTTTGTTGTGGTGTCCCCTATTTCCTTATAGACGACTTAGATGCTACTTCTATATTTGTTTTTCTCTGCATAATCCAATGACTACGGCTACGGGGATACGACTCTCAGACCAAACCAAATCATATCAAATCAAATTCGATACCATTCGCCAGAGTCTACGGCTTACACAAGTTTGATCATCCATGTATTGACTCTTCTATATATTAGAGCTTGGGAAAAATCTCCACTTTGGACCACTTCATTTGTTTATATATGTTAATCCCTCTATATATTGCAAATTGTTGTAACCTAAACTTCAGGACATGGACAAAAAAAAAACTATCTTACTTAAAAAAGTCAAAACTATATTCTTTCAATTTATGTATAAAACATAATATCGGAGCGTCAACCCTCGTTGACTATATTCATATATACACATTGTCACATTGATATTTTTTGTTTCTTTTGAAATCGGAATTATAGGTATTGATTTCTTTTAGTTTTTGGTTTATAATATCATTTTTTTTAACTCAAAATAGTAAAGTTCTTACAAATTAAAAAAAACTCTGTGATGAAAGAGTTTCATATATTTGCTGATCAACGCTTCTCATCATAATTGGGATACTATAGACAACCCAAATAACTAGAATATCAACTTCTTCTACATATGTTTTGGAGATGAATTACAGAATCAGTCTAAAGTTTTACTTTGAAATCTCCCGTGTTATATATACATATTTTTTCTTTTAAAGAAGATTCATAGCAAAAATCATTAAAAATAATTATTTCACACCTGAAAAGAAAAAGAAAAAAAAAGATTGTATAGTTAATACACGTCTTTAATTAAGAATATATGTCATATGAAACCATTAAGAATCAAAAGAAAAAAAGTAAGATAAAAAGGGTCCATATACTACTAACCTTTTTCTATGAGCAATCTTTTTAGATTTTATTATAATTGATGATTTGTTGTATCTCTTAACTAATAAAGTTCGTAAGCCAGCAGTCTTGTAAAGTCGTTTCACACACACACACATGACACATGCAATCACATTTACAACTTAATACAACCAAGAAATAAAGTAAGCCACAATCGCATTCAATTAGTTTCTAGTATTTGCATGCGCGTAACATAAAGTACGCGTTCGAGCTCGAGCATACATCATCATATATCGTTACGTTTACATATGGAGGAAACAAATAAAAAGAAGTTTTTTTTTTTTTGGTAAAAGGTTAAATTAAATAAAAAGACGTTAGTAGAGCTTGAAAACATTTTTCATTTTTTTATTGTAAGTTATGAAACAAAGTCATGGTGAACATGACCAATCTTTGTGTTATATAGTCATGAGATGTTATTATAGTATTTAAATCTTTTTTTTGGGTAATTATAGTATTTTTAAATCTAAAACAATAAAAATATAGTTTGACCAATACATAAAAGTTTCAACACCAAATAGAATTCGAGAAAAATACTTATATAGACGGAGTATAATAAAGAAAACCAGACTCGTTCAACTTTGATTTGTTCTGTCTCTCTAGTCTAGATTTAGTTTAAAGTTGTAATTTTCATCTTTTCTCACTGTCTTGGGCGACTTCTAGTTTTTTTTTTTAAAATCGACAAAACATTATAAAGCAGGAATAAATTCGTCATAATAATTGAGTCCTCCTTATTAGGATTGAAACTTTTTTTTTTTTTTTTTGAAGTACTTTTTCACATTAACTCCAATTCGTGCATTGAGAGAGTCAACCAAATTTGAGATATTGGAGGATTAGGTTTATGTTTGGCTTTTGACTTTTTCTTCTCTCGTTTTTAATTACTTAGGCTTTACGTCATCATTACATAAGCATTAAATAAAACTCCAGAGAGAAACACCTGTAGATACCCTACTTTTACACAAACACATATACAAAAGCATTTTGCGAGCTATACTTTAATATAAATTGCATTTATTACTAAAGAATTTGAAGATTTAATTTAATGTCTGAGAAGGACCATCACACAAAATGACTCAAGCAGAATAAGGCAAAGAAAGACATTAAGACTACTACAACGAGTAAACAAAAGATAGAGAATTCACTCCAACTCACACGACCATGATTGTTTGTTGTTGCTTGTTATTGTTTCCCGAGAGAAACCGCAGAAGCTCTCTGTATCCGCTTTTGTAATGATCCAGCGTGAAACAAAGCTGTCTTATCGCTTCACGTTTCTCTTCCTCTCCTTCTTGTATCGCCTTCCTCTGCAACTCTGCTTGCTTCTCCAGTTCTTTAACCGTAGCTCTCAGTTCCTCCACGGTGTTCTTGACATTCCTCTGCAACTCTGCTTGCTTCTCTAGCTCTTTAACCGTAGCTCTCAGTTCCTCTTCAGTGTTCTTGGCATTTCCTGATTCAGACACAAGCTCAGTCTGCTTAAAGCGCAGCTGGTTAAGTTGCTCCTCCATTTGCTCAATTTGGATATCTCTTGACCTCATCTCTGCTTTTAGACTGTCCACTTCAGCACATACTCCATCTTTCTCTGCCATTAACATGTCGTAGTTCAGCTTGTGTTTGTCGAAATCCTTGTTCAATGCTTCAGTATGCTCACCTCGAGAGGCCAGGTCTGTCTTCAATGCATTGATTTCAGCTTGCAACTCAACCTCTTTTCTCTGCATCTCTACATCAGAATGCCGAAGCTGATCTTCCAATACCTCGTTGCGTGATTCAAATTCTTTAACCCAAGCTTCAAAGAAAGCCTGATTCGCTAACAAACCAGCAATATCAGTCTGCAGTTTTGTTTTCTCAGTAGAGAAAGTTCCCTGACAATCACACAACATATCCCTTAGCTTTGAGATCTCAGCATCTGACACATCTAAACATTCCCTACTCACTTCAAGCTCATTCACTAGATTCTCAAATTTGAAACTTGAGTAAGAGAGCTTAGTTTCCAAATCAACAATCTGTCTCTGCATCTCCAGAACTCGGGTTTTCTCAGTCTCAATAGCCACATCCCTACTCTCAATTTCTCTCTGTGCAGCTTCAAGCTCAGCACGTAGATTCTCAGAAAGCAGAACAGCAGACTCTCCCTTCTCAACCTCGCCCTTGAGCTTCTCAATCTCTTGTCGAGATTCTTGGAGCCTCAAACTCGTAGTCAGTAGCTCTTCCTCGGACTGGACATATTCCTTCAAGAGTTCTTCATAATCCATTTGTTTCCCAGCAGCTAAGTCATGGCTATCCATGGCCCCTGGTGAGACCAGGTGGTGGTTAAGAGAAGAGTAAAAAGCCTCAGTTTCCGATTCCGAGTCTAACTCGGAATAAGAAGAGTCAGAATCATGGTTGCGAGAAACATCAGAACTTCCATGATAAAAGTTGATAGCTACAGGTATTGTATCAGACTTTGGAGTTACAGGAGAAGAGTCATTCTGTTCTGAAACTTTGACAGTTGATGTATATAATAAGAGACTTGTTTTGTTTCAACAGAAAAAGAATAATAATAACACAACCCAAGTAAGACCGTATCTATACATACCTGAAGAGATTTCCACGAAAGAGTTAGAATTGTGTGGCCAGCCACATGAATCATCTGGTACCTCCATCTCTGAAGTTAGAAAGAAAGGGGTTGATTAAACAATGGATCAAGCAAATATATCAAAACGTTTTAGAGATTAATAGCTAATATATGAATAAGAGGTTGAGATATAGGTAAGATATACCAGGATACTCGTCTCAGATTTAGGTTTATCAAAAACAGATTAATATTTATCTCGGATTCTCAGTAATATAAATTAAAAAAAAAAAGAATTAATAATTGTCATATATATAGTCTAGGAATATTATCCTGAAGAGCTAAACAAATTTTTCTAATCGAAAATCTCGTGAAAAAAAAAATAGGGTTTCTTCTTAGATCTCTCACAATTCAATTTTATTTTTTTGGAGTACCTATGTACACAGAATCAAGAGCTCGTTGAATAGGGAAAAGTAAAAAGTTTTGGAACAATTTTGATCACCAAATGAAGAAAATACAAGAAGCCAGACAAAAAGACCTTCCACAAATCTCAGAGAGAAACAGAGTGAGTAACATATATCATAATATCTGCTAGAAACAAAAAAAAAAAAATCGAACAGAAACAAGCAAAGATCTAAACCTAGAATTTTGAAAAGGACCAAAGTAAACTGACCTTTAAAATTGATATGATCGAGGGAAACAAAAACGCAGGTTTACAGGGAAAAAAAGGGTGAAAACAGGGGAAAGGTTTATATAAGCAGTAGTAGAGGATTCAAAATCTAGGGTTACAAGTAACGAAGCAAGCAGAAGGTGGAAAGTGTTTAAAAGTGAGAGACAAAAGAGGAGGGAAGATTTGTCGGATAGCGAAGAGAAAGTGGCGCTCTTTAGGATTCAAATGTTTGCCATTTTCTTCATCTTTGTCAATTCTGACAGTCTGTTCTTCGCTGCCCAAGTGGCCACACTTCCGCACATGCACCACTTCCCTTTTATCTTTGACCTATTTTAATTATTCGGTTCGGTTCGGTTTCTCTCGCCAATAACGTAACCCGAAACATAAGCCAGTTGCGTTTCCAAAACCCGTTTCGACTGTTCAAATCCACTGGGCCTTTTTAGCCCGCTAGTTTTAGCCCATTAAGATATTGTTTCTAGTAAAGTATCACTATCAGTTATCATTATACAATTTTGATTTATTCCTTAGACTAATCCGTTGATTAATACTTCTTTTAAGTTTCCTTTTTTTTTTGTCGGCAATTTTTTTTTCTGAGTTTAATTGGTAAGAAGACCCTTTACTTACCCTACTATTGTACGTCACTAGTTTGTGCTTTGGTTTGTTCCTCACACTTCTATTTCAGTAGTATCACTATCAATATATTTTGATTATATTCATTAGATTAGACTAATTCGTTGATAATTATAGATATTTTAAAGGTTTACGGCCCTTTTTCCTTTTTTACTTTCACTGTAATTCTGTAAAAAAAAGAAGGAATAATCGACTGTGGAAGTTGTCGGTGGTGGTGGTGGTTGTTGCTTGGTTGGATATGATTAGTGACAAATAAATTAATGTTTTTTTAAAACAAAAATCTGAAAGAGTGACGAGCAGAGACAAATAAGCTTTGCTCCTTGCATCTTCTCTTCTGATAAGCCATCCAGAGATTCTTCCTTACTTATACATATCTCTCTCTCTCTCTGTAGAGAAGAAAGCTCTGATCCAGAAAGAGAGATTCAGAGAGTCACATCTCCACTCCATCTTCAGATCTCATGGTAACTTTTCAACTCCTCACTCCGTGATCCATTCTCAGATTTGACTTCTCTTTACTTGGATCTCCTCAGATCTAATCGTATCTTATGCTTTTGATCATTCCGAGCAGATTTGAACTATCCCCGACGTTTCCGTGGTCGAAGCAAGTAAGTGTCGATGGAATCCGAAGGCGAAACCGCGGTATGTTTTTGATTAATTCTTGCTTCTTCATCCTCACGCTTCCTTTATAATTCCCCTAAGTAATCAGGACTCGTAGATACTGAGATTGACTGATTTGGACGTTTACTTGTGTATAGGAGAGATCTGATTTCAATCTTTTTATTTCTGTTTAGGTTTCTAATTTTGAACTGTGTTTTTAAGTCTTGATTTTTCCCAATTGTAGGGGAAGCCGATGAAGAACGCTGCTGCGAAGATTTGCCAGATCTGTAGTGACAATGTCGGCAAGACTGTTGAGGGAGATCCTTTTGTGGCGTGTGATATTTGTTCATTCCCTGTTTGTAGGCCTTGCTATGAGTATGAGAGGAAAGATGGTAATCAATCTTGTCCTCAGTGCAAAACCAGATACAAGAGGCACAAAGGTATTACCTATTGATCTTACTATTCCTCACTTTGATCCATCTGAAATTATACAGTCTTCATTGTGCAGCATCCATAGTTTTTATCTGTATGTTTTAAATTATGGATCAGATTGGTATTTGTTACAAATTGCTGATTTCTGATTCTAGGTAGTGATGCTATTCCTGGGGATAAAGACGAGGATGGTTTAGCTGATGAAAGTACTGCTGAGTTCAACTACCCGCAGAAGGAAAAGATTTCAGAGCGGATGCTTGGATGGCATCTTACCCGTGGGAAAGGAGAGGAAATGGGGGAGCCCCAGTATGATAAAGAGGTCTCCCACAATCATCTTCCTCGTCTCACAAGCAGACAAGATGTAAGGAATTGCCGTTCGTTCTTCCCTCTTTAAGTATTCGCATCCTCACGCAATCAAGTTTTGGAATCTGATTCTGTCGTTTGCTTTTTTTTTCAGACTTCAGGGGAATTTTCTGCTGCTTCACCTGAACGGCTCTCTGTATCTTCTACTATAGCTGGTGGAAAGCGCCTTCCCTATTCATCAGATGTCAATCAATCACGTAAATATCCTTTTTCTTACTATATGGCCAACACATATACTTAATACTTGTACCTGGATAGGCTTTACGTTATGTCAAAATTCTAAAAAATAAACTCTGTTGTCGTTCACGTTGCAGCAAATAGAAGGATTATGGATCCTGTTGGACTAGGGAATGTAGCTTGGAAGGAGAGAGTTGATGGCTGGAAAATGAAGCAGGAGAAGAACACTGGTCCGGTGAGCACGCAGGCTGCTTCTGAAAGAGGTGGAGGAGATATTGACGCCAGCACAGATATTCTCGCAGATGAAGCTTTGCTGTAAGTTCTTGTTTCGTTATCTCGTTTGGTCCATCTTGGTGTCCTGTTCTGCTTCAGGGTTATGACATTGAACAATCTGAGCATCTTTCCTATTAAGCATTATCCATTTTATTTGTTTTACAGGAATGACGAAGCAAGGCAGCCTCTATCAAGAAAAGTTTCAATTCCTTCATCCCGGATCAATCCTTACAGAATGGTTATCATGTTGCGGCTCGTTATTCTTTGTCTCTTCTTGCATTACCGTATAACAAATCCAGTGCCAAATGCTTTCGCTCTGTGGCTGGTCTCAGTAATATGTGAGATCTGGTTTGCCTTATCCTGGATTTTGGATCAGTTTCCCAAGTGGTTTCCTGTGAACCGTGAAACCTACCTCGACAGGCTTGCTTTAAGGTAAGTTCTATTTCCACATTCTTCTGAAGAAATTATTCAAAGGATTGACTGCCTATAACATTTCCAATTTAATTCCGGTCATGCTCAATTTTGGGACAGGTATGATCGTGAAGGTGAAGTGTCACAGTTAGCCGCTGTTGACATTTTTGTGAGTACTGTTGACCCTTTGAAGGAGCCACCCCTTGTGACAGCCAACACAGTGCTTTCTATTCTGGCTGTTGACTACCCGGTTGACAAGGTGTCCTGTTATGTTTCTGATGATGGTGCTGCTATGCTATCATTTGAATCACTTGCAGAAACATCAGAATTTGCTCGTAAATGGGTACCATTCTGCAAGAAATATAGCATTGAGCCTCGCGCACCAGAATGGTACTTTGCTGCGAAGATAGATTACTTGAAAGACAAAGTTCAGACATCATTTGTCAAAGATCGTAGAGCTATGAAGGTAATTTTGTAGTTTAGTCATGTAATCATCCTCATTTTCCTTTTATTATATGCTATATTGACCTTTTATTTTCTTGCAGAGGGAGTATGAGGAATTTAAGATCCGAATCAATGCACTCGTCTCCAAGGCGCTAAAATGTCCTGAAGAAGGGTGGGTTATGCAAGATGGTACACCATGGCCTGGAAATAATACAAGGGACCATCCAGGAATGATCCAGGTAAGAGACATTGGTTTGAGTATGTTCTCTCTTTCTCACTTGTTCTCTCTAGAAGTTCAATACTGAAGTAGCATTTTTGTTGAATGCAGGTCTTCTTAGGGCAAAACGGTGGACTTGATGCAGAGGGTAATGAGCTTCCACGTTTGGTGTATGTTTCTCGAGAAAAGCGACCAGGATTCCAGCACCACAAAAAGGCTGGTGCTATGAATGCACTTGTATGTTTCTGATCTCGGATTTTTGACATTTTTTTCTCTGTTTTGGTAGTCTAACTGGCTACTTTTCAAATGAACAGGTTAGAGTTTCAGCAGTCCTTACCAATGGACCTTTCATCTTGAATCTTGATTGTGATCACTACATAAATAACAGCAAAGCCTTAAGAGAAGCAATGTGCTTCCTGATGGATCCGAACCTAGGGAAGCAAGTTTGTTATGTTCAGTTCCCACAAAGATTCGATGGTATTGATAAGAACGATAGATATGCTAATCGTAATACCGTTTTCTTTGATGTAAGTCATACTGACCTATACTTGCGTCATATTTTCTTGTTCTTATAAATACCTTTTCGACATGAATATACGTTTTAGACATTCAGTTTCTAGAGTTTTGTTGTAATTTTTCTGTGATATGTTTTCCAGATTAACTTGAGAGGTTTAGATGGAATCCAAGGACCTGTATATGTGGGAACTGGGTGTGTTTTCAACAGAACAGCATTATATGGTTATGAACCTCCAATTAAAGTAAAACACAAGAAGCCAAGTCTTTTATCCAAGCTCTGTGGTGGATCAAGAAAGAAGAATTCCAAATCTAAGAAAGAGTCTGACAAAAAGAAATCAGGCAGGCATACTGACTCAACTGTTCCTGTATTCAACCTCGATGACATTGAAGAGGGAGTTGAAGGTACAATTCTTTTCATTTCTTCTTTGGTTTTCTGTTCTACCCAAACGTTGGTATTTGAGATATTGATCCAGGGTTATTAATAATTAACTGTTGATGAAGAATTGATATGGTGCAAAATGCCTACATTGTCTTAATAGTTTCCAGATTAGGTATCCCATCATATCCTAACTATTTAACATTTGGAAAACGCAGGTGCTGGTTTTGACGATGAGAAGGCGCTCCTGATGTCGCAAATGAGCCTGGAGAAGCGATTTGGACAGTCTGCTGTTTTTGTTGCTTCTACCCTAATGGAAAATGGGGGTGTTCCTCCTTCCGCAACTCCAGAAAACCTTCTCAAAGAGGCTATCCATGTCATTAGTTGTGGTTACGAGGATAAGTCAGATTGGGGAATGGAGGTATTATCTCATTTTAATCCTACATGCAACTGCAATGTTCTGACATGTTTGCTTTGGCACTCACTTTGTTTGTATTTCCCGCT